CAACATCAAGGTTTGAGAGTTAGCAGGTTTTACAGCAGCGTGAGATGATTTATTGGGATGAAAACTTACAGAATCTTACGTTTCAGTGATATATAGCTGATGATTACCACTGATTTAAATATATATCATGGACTTCATCACAAACTAACCTCAAGTGTTTACCTCTACACTGCATTTAAATATCTAGTATTAACAATTAAAATTTTCAACAAGTTATTCGTAAAAATGTGATGAAGACTTGTCTACAATTTCTTAGAGATTGGCTGCAGAGTGGATGTTAAGACAGCCCCATGAAAAAATATCTGTTTTTTAGTGGTTGGTGCAATATATGTATTTTCACTTCTTCTTTACTGCAATGTTTCTCCTGTACATAACCACAATCATATTATCCAAACTATTTGCAGTTTATAAATGCTGGTGTTGTTTTGTAAGTCTCCTCCAGAACCTAAATTCAAAGAATGAAGAGAGTTAATTAAGTTGAGAGGGGATAAGGCACCACAAGTATGCTACAGCCAACAGTTTATTTTTTGTTTCCTTAGTTTGTTTCTCTTATTCTGTTTTAATGAGTTGAGAAACAGTTCTACACTCGCTGTAGAAAACAAATAAAGTGTACTTTAAGAGATACAGAATGTATTTATCAGCACATAATACATGTCATCTTATCTGCAAAATCAATTTATTAAATTGTTTAAACACTTTGCCTTTCCTGAATCTATTTGTTCTCCAGGCAGAAAAAGGCATCTGCCCACATGAAGTACCTAGAGCGTCTGAGCCAGAGGGCTCCAGACTTTCCTATCCCTCTGAGGGCTCATACTGTCTGGGAGGGCATGACGGTCAAACTCTCCTGCACCATCCAGGGTTGTCCACCCCCAAAGGTCACATGGTAAGAAGAACTTCTGTCTGTGCTGCACTCAATTCTCTTGGCCTCCGTTGGCCCGTAATTTTTCAGACGTTTCTATTAAATTCTATTGCTTGGGTCATAGCGCAAACTGGTGTCATTGTAATTTAGTTTCTCGGTTGGTTGGAGTGGGTTAGAGAAGAAAAAGAAACATGACTCAAAGTCATGACTTTCAAGGAACGACAAGGTCTATAATGATGTGCACTCCTAAATTATGTTACTTAAACACTGTATCAGAGCTGACACTATCAGCTGATTCGTTGATCAGTAAATCAAATTTCTAATTGACAACGAATTCAATAAATACCATTTAAGCCATTTATCAGGTCTTGATTATCTTTGCTGCTTTTTCACTGCTACTTATATCACTGCAAAATATTATTTGTTTTTTTGGACCGTCGAATACAACAAACAATTGGAAGATACAACTTTTGGCTGTGGACCGTACTCTGACCTTTAATAAACCATTAGTTGCAGCCCTACACTGTATGCTTTATTCATGACTCATCTACAATGTATGTCATGCGATCATTACAAGTATAGAGTGTGAGAGATAAGGAGGTAGGTTAGGTTATAAACCCGCGTATGCAAATGATTGAATATAAGACAGATTAAAAGCCCATGAGTCGCTTGCAAAAAAACAAGAGTCATGATCCTACAGTTCTGAACCCTGAGTTGAATATCACCCTCTGTATTAATATGAAATTACCTGTGTTAATTCAGGCAACACGCCAAACTGTCGACCTTGATACTTGAGCTGCTTAGAGACTAGCTGATGAATAGACCATGTGTGCTCAGTATTCATGAACCTAAGCTGAGATCCAGATAACCGGAGGCTCATGGGTTTCAGCATCCCATATGGGACTCATTGAGCCAATTGGGCTGCAAAAGGCTGCCCTCAACAGTGCCCACTGCCCAGCACAAGACAGAATGAGAGATCAAAGCCCCCCTCTGGCTGTTATAGATTCAGCAAAAACTAACATTTGATTAGTGAAAGACGTGCATTACTTTGAACAGACTCAGATATATTTCTAACTTCCTGCCTCAGGTACAAGGATGGTCTGCCACTGAGGATGTCTGCCCAACCATGGAATTACTGTCTTGAACAAAATTTGGTCTTAACTCACTGGAGATTAGAAGGTAGGTCACTCACTCAAATCCCTAATTAAAGCTCAAAATCTCTGAACATGTAAACTGTATGAACATGACACAGGGTGTGTAAGATGGGGCATGTGTGAATAGCACGACCTTGCAACGGATTGACTGGGAATAAAATTAAACATTTACAAAACATGTGGGTGAGGTTAGATAATGGAGAAGTTATGAGATAAAATGTGTTAAACTGAGAAATAAATGCTGGTGTTATTTTGTAAGAGTCAATTATGTTGAAAGGTCTGCTAGTGCAATAAAAGAACAGATATGTAACACTAGAGACACATTTTTTTAAGCGCCATCTTCAACCACTTCCAATTTTTACAGATACATGCACCTCTCTATCCTTAGGTGCTCTCCTGATGATGCTGGAGAATATAAAGTGGTAGCCACAAGTCCTCTGGGTGAAGCTATGACCTTTGGAACACTTGTGGTGAACTGTGAGTGGCGTCCTGTTTCATATCAGCTCCACCTTGCAGGAAAACCATTAGGACTAATACAAAGATGGGTTACACTGACTGAAATACCAGAGTTCAGTCTCAGGCTCCAAACTGGTAATGGGACAGTGAGATCAGTAAAAGAAATCATCTGAGAAGCCACATGATTAAAGGCCATATAACCTGTCCAAAGAGCATATTGGTGCAGAATTTCAATCATTTGAAACATTTCATCTCCTTAAAAACATGTAGGGGTGAGCATCAACAACTGCATTTAACATGTACCATTTCAACTCCCCACAGCTCAAAAACTTTATATATTGATGACACTGCCCCCCAGTGGATTTGTTGTTTAGGCTTGATAAAGGTTCAAGCATAAAGAGACAACAAAGCTTACTCACTTTGTACACATTTATTTATTCTGTCATCTTTTATGGTTACAAGAACCTGAATCGCATAACTTGCATTTAAGTGGAAAGTGTTACTTCTCATATCAATCATCATTAGATATTGTAGAGTAATACAATAAGGAAATTCCAATTTAGTGATGTATACTGATATTTAAAGCATAAAGCAAAATGTCCTGAATGCAACAAATATATTTTGAAAAGGCTCTATTGACATTTCATTTCGTATTGAATTTTGTTTTGCACATTATTAAACCTTCATTTAACCAGGAAGGACACTTAAGAACAAGTAGTTAGTTCCAATGATGGCCTGGCAAGAGGCGAGTAGGTATAAGGCAAGACAGACATTCAGAGTCAAGGCAATAATGTTGCTTGTGAAGGATGCACACGCATGTGTCTTTGGAAATGCCCATGATATTGTTCTTAAAAGCTGTCAGAGAAATAAATAGGTCTAGTTGTATTGTTGTTTGTACATCATTGCAGTCTTAACATTGCATTACATAAAAGATTAAAGAGAGAAGTCCGTGAAATCTCAGTGAAAGGATAAAAAGCATTTAAAAAATGAAGCACCAACAAGGTTTACAGACAAACTTAAAGACTGTTGACATGAACTTGAAAGAACAACCAAACAGCAAGGCGATCAAAAGCACTGACCAAACCAGAGACCAAATTACTGAAAACACACAGGCCCAGTAGCAACACAACACAGAGAGCAAAACACACGCCCTATGTGTGCACCCTACTCACTACCATCCACAATTCAACATCACTGACTGCAACAGTGTTGACAAAAATCCATAAGCAGAGATATGTAGTTGCGTGCAGAGTTACAAGCAACCGCCACAGTTTAAATAAAGAAAGCAGCGAGCTTACTCACCATTAGTTGCAGTCAGCTAGTGTTGGAGTTGAATTAACAATTGTTAATTAACAATATCAATTAATAATTGATATTCGTCAGACATCTCTCGCAGGTAAGGAAGGGCTCTCTCAAAAGTCAGCAGCGAACCATCTGTGAAGCGTGGCTCCTGGATGTCCAGTGAAAATGTTTGTCAAAACCCTACAGACAGTATGCAGCAGATCTTCTTGACATTATATTCCAATCAGCAGTTGTCTTTAAACCCTCACATGTGAGCGCTTTGTACTTTTGTATAAACATGTGGGAGACGCTGTAAATAAAACGAAGGCCTAAACTGGTGGCACCGTCGGGCTGTGGAAACGTGTAACGTTAAACGGTTCTTCGTTAGCCGCTGAGGTGTTAGCTTCGGTGGGCAGCAACTCCACTGATTTTCCTCACTTGTGGCGCTCCCCTCGGGTTGAATTGTTTCCGAAAGTGCTTCAACATCTTGCCTCCCTACTGCTAGCATAAACTCCGAGTCACACACACATGTTTGATGTTAGCTATCCAACTATCTATAATTATCCCTCAAGTGAAATCGCGCTGGTATCAATTTAACCGAAGCCCCGCCCCCTATCTTGGAATGATTTTGCATTTTCTGCATTTCAATTAGGCTCCCATTGAATTACCAAAAATCACAAGCCCTAATCTCAGAATTATAACAATAAATCGACCAGACTATTTACTAAAACTATTTAAATTGTTAACTGGTTGGTTGAACATGAACCACCTTGAAAAGTGTTGAGTTATGTTATGTATGTTACTTACAGATTCTAGTGTATGGAGTGCTTAGGTCACAAATAGGGGGTTCATCTGTTTCACACTGTCAGCTTTTTACAGTTTAGGTTTTATCTTTCTAAAAAGTGTAAACACCTAGCTGAAATCATAGAATGTCCTGCTCTTTACATATCTTAGTCACAGTAGTCAAATTTATGGGATCCCAGTGTTGAATTTTATGGTTAACTTTTAAATGTCAATATCAGTTGATATATTACATCAGATTTATAGCAACATTGGTGTTGGCTTCAGAAATCCAATATTGGTCACACTATAAAATGAGCATTTACATCTTTTTCCTTTATTTTGCATGGGCATAGACATTCATTCACGCCCCAGGGTGCTGACACTGGCATGGCTAAATTGGACCAAATATCCATATCCATCCTCCATCCCTATTCTTGCAATGATTTTTAGTTTGGATGTTATTTGTACAGGGTAGTTTTGTATCCCCATTATCCGTTTCTATAAATTTGAGATTTGCATGAGAATCAACACCAGACTGAAATGATCAGAAAAACAGATCTCATTGCAGCACTCATGCATAATGAATTATAATGAGAAGAGTGGGTGTAGTGGTGACTAATAGTCAAACATCTACAGTGAGCTTCATGGCCTCACAGCACTGTCATGGAAACATTCACAATAATAATGTTTTTTTTCTTTGCCCCTTTGAAATGTCCTACCCTTTAGTGAAAGGGCTCAGTGCTTGACGGTAAAGCTCCTTTACGTTGAAGATCAATTAGATGGTTCGGGGCTTTAATGAGACACTTCAAGGCTTCTCCTTGCCATCTATATTTTACAGGCTTTCTTCGGTTGTTAAAAATAGGTTAAAGGGAATATTAGATGTGACTTGCATAAATGTGGCACTGACAGGTTTGATTTGTCTGCTGTTTCTCTCTATCTCATACTGCTTAATTTTCACAATCTCTTTCTCTGTTCCTGTCTCCATCTCTGAACCTCCATGCCTTTCTCCAATCTGTCCTGCTCCACGCTCTGCCACTCTGCGATTCAGCATATCAAGGTGCCGTGGCTGGTTCAGAGAGCTTGCAGACCCCCGGTAAGTTTCTCGCCAGGGCCTAATGAAAAGTGTCCCCTTTCATTTTCTCTGTCACCCTTTGAAGTTCTTCCCTCCACCGGTGAACGAGGGAGGGCTGCGTAGCTTTGAAGACTGTGACACAACACTCTGCTCTGCTTTGCTGTGCATGCTGCACCTCATAAAGATATGGATGGATTGAAAGAGAGGAGCGTGTTGTCTGTGTTTGTTTGTCATGGGAGTTTATGTTTCTGTGTGGGTGTCCGTGTCCATGTATGTATGGGTGGTGTAAGTAAGACTGTGAGCAGGAAGCTTGCTGTAGGGATAGAAAGACTTGCTTCCAATGGAGCAGAAACGGCAGTCATGTATATTTCATTTCAGGGACAGTAGGGGATTTATTTCGTTTTGCTCCAAGCTGTGGAGCATCTTTGGCCTAGATTAGCCTCCACCATGTGTGGGGATCATGACATTTACAGCCTGTGCTTGCATATAGGCTCAGCATCTGATCAGCCTAGCTATTCATAGTTTCCCTTAAATGGGGAGACTGTCGTTACCAGGAAAACACAGGATTGGCCTAAAATAACCTGTTTAAGTTGGCCTGGGTCAGCAATGTAACTTTGACAAGGGACACCACTATAAGCCATTTCCTTCTAACAGTCGACATTCATTTCTTTTGATCATGACCACAATAGTAGTAGTTCTTCTTTTAACTGTGACCACAATCGTTCCCTATTCTTAAGCAAAGTGTTAAGTGCCTACATTTAACCTAACTGTAACTATAGCAGTGGCAGATCAGAAAACAGGCATATGACTAATTTTTGTAAATGTCATATCCATTTGGAAGGCGTTAAATGATGTTGTCCTACGAGGCAAACACTAATATGGGTTGTTTGGAAAGAAATTACATAATCTATTGTTTACTATGTAGGACTTGCTGAGAATGAGATTTCTTGTGATTACGTTCTCACCCTCACCATGTCACACATCACACCTGTGAGATTTATGCAAGTCCTGCTTCTTTGACTACTTAGCTTGCCCTATTGGACGTCTTTGCCTTGCAGTGTCACATTAATGTCACCATATGTCAGCAGTGACATTGATGAGTAAATCACCCTAAAAGGAAGTACTGTATTTTTGGGCAAAGCTATTAAATTAAACAGACCCAAGAGAAAAATGCAATTTTCCTTTAGATTTGGCCTTAAAGCAGCAGTTGGCAACAAAAAACATAACCTTCCGAGTCTCACTCTGCTACAGTCAGTTCTGTGGGCAGTCTTGTTTGTACTATAAGCTGTTGTTGGCAAAGGAGGGATGGGCAGTTCTTTCATTGCTGGTGGTTGTTTCTCAGACATGGTGTTTGCAAAACTTCTGAAGCCGCACGCTGTAGATATTGAGCTTGACTGAGTGAGAGCGTGAGGGGGGAAAAGTGTGCTTGACTCACTCAGGTATGGTGGATAACATTAGGAGCACTTGGAAGAGTCAGAGGAACCTGATTTCTTTCATAGATTATCTGTCTCATGTACTTCTGTCAGGATATAGTGCTCCAGAGGCGTGTGACCTCTCACATGTATAGCAATTGTAAGCTTTGGATAAAAGCGTCAGCTAAATGAATAAATGTGTGTGTGTGTATATATATATATATATATATATACACCTACAGAAGCACTGGTGTAATAATGCGTCTCTGAGATCATCACTCCTTATGCAGAAATGCTTTATGACTTTAACTATCTTGCAAATACACCAGTGCTTCCGTAGGTGCAATACAAACAAGCATTCCCCACACACTCAGAAATTAAATGGCAATCATTCTGAATAAAGCTTTATCAGCATGTAATGCTTGGGGCCTGCGAGGATGTGCTAAAGAATTACATCCTGACATTTTTCAACTGATACTTGATTATCTCATATGAAGCAGATCATATTTTCTACCATGAATCACTCGTAATAAAAAAACAGCACTGCAACACTGGTGAGTTTATCTTAATCATCATTGCTCTCAGGAAACCAGGGATTTTACGTTTGAATGATAGGAAACAAAGATCCAAGCAGTGTGTTTTGAAAAAGCTACGTACATTCCTGTGAATGCCTGGACTGCTAAGCAGAACAAGATCATTATAAGAAACATGTCACAGCCTCAGATTCATCCCTGAGAATGGGATCTGACAAGACCTCGTGGCACACATATCTCTCACTTCCAGACTGTATTGCTTCAGTGCTTTGACAAGCGAGAGAATGGTGAAGGAATAACTTGTCAGGAATTGTTCACTTAAAAAAGAAAAAGTCACATCTTCAGCTTTCCTGCTGTCTGCGCCCTTCCTCCAGGGTGCGTATGTCCTGACTGTCCTTTGTCTCTGTGTGCTCTTGAATGAGGCAGAGGGTCCTTGTCTTTAAGGCTGTGCAAGTCTGCATAGGATGGTCTTTTTAGTTATTTAAGACCCTCTGGGTTGCTTTGTTCAGTTTTACTCCCTGCCATTAATGAGAGAAACTGAGGAAGGAAGTTTGTTACTGCTAGCTTGCAAGGAATAACGAAAACCTGAAGACATAGCGCAAATGTACTCGATGGAATAGAAACATAAGATCTTTTATGACGAGGTTTGGTGACAGATGTGGGGATATGAAGGAATGAGCTCTCATTTCTTATAGTCAGGAATCAACATACTTTTACCTACCCGCCACTGCTTCCTGATTCCTCTCCTCTTTACCTGCCATGCCTCTTTCCTTTGTAGCAGTCTAAAGGAGTAGCAATTTTATAGTGCACACATTCACCCAAAATTATTTCATCTGGATTTATTTTAAAAAAAATTTTTGCTGCAGTAACGCTGCGTCTGGAGTGGACCTTCTTTTTCAGCACCAGTGAGGAAAGTGAATGAGTGTATATTGATGAAAAGTACTCTTCTTATAATTTTTCTTTTTTAATCCTTCTTTTTACTTTTCTTCAGTCTTATTGATTAATTTGCCAGTTTTCCTCCTCTTGTCTTTACTTCTACACCATCTCCCTTCATTCCCCTTTATCTATTCCTGTCCTAATACTTTACTCTTACTATGTCCCCCCCAACTTTGTCCTCATCCTCGTCTTTTCTCAACCCTCTCTACCCTAGCCCTGAAGCTTGAGCAAGAAGCCAAGTTTGATAACACCTTCCCCCCTACGTGGGTGAAAGAGGGTAACAGCCTCACCCTGCAATGCACTTTCGCCTCAGCTCTGCTGCCTTTCCAGCAGGAAGTCAGCTGGTTCAGAGATGGTTAAGTATTATAGATGATTTATATGAGCCAAATGTTTGACAATTTAGATTTGTGCAATAAGTTTGTCATTTAATTTTTTCATTCTCTAGGCATCCAGCTGTGTCAGTCGAGCACTGTGGACATTAAGACAGTTGACAACAATGCCTCCATCACTTTAAGGGCTGCACACAAGGAGCATGAAGGAGTTTACACTGCCCGACTAAGGACATGGGATGAAATCCAGGAACACAGTGCTTTTGTTTATGTCAAAGGTGAGGACCAGCATGAAAATGGTTTTGATGTAAATATGGCACCTATCGTTGGTCCATTACCTATCATGTTGCACCTACCAGCACCTCTAAAGTTCAATTATTAACATCATTGTAAACTACTATATCTATTTTGTTTAATCCATACAAAAAACTGTTTTTTCTGGACCGTGAGCTTGGCAGATAATCTTATCTCCCAAAATGTCTCCCTATTGGTTTTAGGGTATTTTTATATACATATACATACACCGGCTCTCTGGCACTATGGCAGGCATGTTAGGGTTGTCACACCAGATCACACCAGAAACCACTCACATATTGAATAGTGTCTCTAAACAGCCTGCAAGTGGTATGCTTTATTCCAAAATTATCCATTTAGTGTTATGCAAAAGCTGACAAATGCTTAGGAGTGACCTTGGGAGCCTTGCATATAAAAATAGTGGTTTTGGGGATGGAATCGTCATTTGTTATCCCAAGCTGGATAATGGAGTTTTGACCGAAACCTTCACTCAAAACACTATTTGCATTCACCAGATATTGATTCTACTTTCATTTCCTGTCAGCAAACTACTCTGATTCATACAGGGAAATTGCACCATCAATCAAACTGTTCTACAGTAGACGGCTTCTTAACTTTGTTCAATGAAACTACTGCTATTTTCTCCCGTACATTGTTCGAAGCATGCAAATAAACCAGAGAACAACTCCGACTTGACTCTTAAAACATTTTTAAATGTGTCTGGCAGCTCTGCAAGAAGGCTTGGCCCGTCTATGTGTTTCAGTATACTACCAGCGCGTACTCATGCATGTATTGCACCTTAACTGCCACAGTCACAGTACAATGTGCACTGCATCATTCATGAACTCAGTGTGCACATACTCCAAAAATGAACATGTACTAGTCCAAACACTTTAATGCAAAATAAACCTTCCTGCACAGCTCTCTTAACATCTTGGCTCAGGTTTCTCTCTCTCTTATTAAGGAGCCTGATCTTTGCCAGAACTGGAGGTACTAATTAGTGAATCAGTGAACTTCCCTGCATGTGGGTTTTCTCCTTCATTCAGCCATCATATTTGCATTACAAATTGGCGGTACAGGAGAGGAAACACAAACGAGAGAGAAGGAGCGAAAGGCGGGTGCAGATGCAAATTATCAAACAGAAAAGAAAAGATCCTTGATTCGATCACTTCAATCAGCTCAGCATAATTTCCTCGTTTCTTTTTCTCGATTCTCTCTGTCTCATCACATCCACTGGTTGTGATTGCATAGTATATGTTGAGTGCTAATCTGTTACTTCATCCAGCCTTAGCCATCACTTTTCACTCTTCATGCTGCAGATGCATCAGCTGCATTGCTGGGAGGCCCCGCCTCTCCTCTGGCCGTCCAGGTATCTGACGTCAACAAGGACTATGTCTTCCTTACCTGGCAGCCACCCAGTGCTGATGGAGCCTCCCCTGTTGAGGGTTATTACGTGGAAAGGTGAGGATTGCCCTGAATCACCACAAACATCTCCAATTTTTTCAGCCATTCCAATATTTATTTGTATTTAAATCAAATGAATGAAGGGAAACAAAATGACAATGAGATTGAAAATTCACTCATGGGCTTAGAAACAGTAACAATCTCACTACAAGGTCTATTTAGTAACTGTTATTGAGTATTTGAAATTAAAGACTTCTCTGGCAATTAAGTCTTATTATCCAGTTAGTTATCCAGTTATGAATCCCCAAAGTGAAAAGCTGGAACCAGAGATTGTTTGGTATTTTTGCTTGAAAGATGACTAAAACAATGAGTCGATTGTCAAAACAGGTGCCGATTAATTGTCTGTCAAAATCTGCTTTGTTAAAAGAATTTAAATTATTAATGGAAAATGTTCTTTTAATCGATTCATTATTGGGTTATTTATTTGTCAGTTCATTTTATCAGTTGACTTTTGAATAGAACAAGTGGGCTGCCGTAATAATAACCTGAACAGTAAAATCTGCTATTCATTATACATTGATTAAAATGTGGGATTTTTTTATTTAGAATACATAGAATGCATTTAAGCCTCAGTAGAGACAAATATTTAGAGGTCAATTAGATAAAATGAGAGTAGTAATGAAAAGTATTTGGACTGCATTTAATTCAGCACAAAAATTAGATCTCACACAGTGAACTCACATTGATTTAATCTTTAAAAAACGGTTATTTTAGACTGTATTTACAGCAATTTCCTGTATTGCAAGTCAACAATACACTTACAGTAAGATTATACTGCTGAACCTCGTCTTGATCTGTGTGCTGCTGATGAGGAAATTAGATTGGGGCAGATAAAGATGGCTGTAGTGGTGTTATATCCATCTGGCAGAGTTCACATGAGATGGATGATATACATGGTAATTATCAGCCCTCAACACTATGTTAACAGCAGAGTCAAAGACTCCCGCTGCAGAACAGGTCCTGCACTTATCACCAACACCAATCAATCAGGATCGTCCGATACATGTGTGTACATATGTGTGTTTGCTGTGTGTGTGTATAGAGAGAGAGAGAACGCATGTTCATTTGTGCATTAGTGTGCGCATTATTGTGTGTGTGTTTTGTTCTCAAGTATTAAGTACTCCAGTATGTTTTGCATATTTGTGTATGTGTTGTTTTCTTGCATTCCTTATTTATTCAGGGTAAAAGAAATAACTCCTGTTTTTGGTTATTGGGTGAGGAAAGGAAAATGAAAGACACCTCCCAGTTCCCTAGCAACCTCCTTATGGTTAGAAAACTACACGCTTTTCTGTCTTTGTTTTGTTTGAAGCAGTGGCAACAGTTTACTATTGATGTTGTATAATCTGAGTTTGAATTCTACTTTAAAAAGCCATTTTCTACTGTGTTTGGAGGCCCACTATTTTCACATGATGGCCTCTGGTCACAATTATTGGTCTTGGTGGGGTATTTACTGACTAAGATGTGTTTTTGTGCGGGTTGAATGCTTTAAAATATTTTTTTGATATTCTTACACTCTGCAGACTGCACTTGAAGTTTGTTTACCTTTTATTCAAATTTCCAGATATGATGTCGGCCAGGGAGAGTGGGTGCGCTGCAATGTGCATATTCAGAAAATGTGCCACTACCCGGTGTTCGGGCTAAAGGAAGGAACTCTGTACCAGTTCAGAGTTCGTGCTGTTAACCGGGCTGGAGCAGGACGCCCCTCTAAGGCTACCGAGCCCGTTCTCACTACAGACCCCCTGGAACACACCAGGACCATGGGTAACAAGTAGCATACTCTGCCAGTCGAATTGCCATATAAAAAGCTATGAAATGTTACGTCACTACAGATACAGAAACACAAATTGGTGACAAACTCAAAGAAAAATCAGCATGACTTGTTTGGTGCAGTTCAAATAAACCTTGCATGTGTTTGGTTCGGGTTCATTTGCAGTGTGAATACAAAGACACACTGACCACAGGATTTGTGATAGAGATGTTGAAGGAATTCAAAGCGAACCCCCCATTCACTATGCTAATCATGAACTCTCAAGAAATCTATAAATGTAATATCATCTGGTAACCATGGTAACACACATGTGCTTCAGCATGTGAGTACAGGAAAACAGAGCTGAGCTTGTGTCCTACTGTGCGTATGTTAACAGTTCCTCATTATAGACTGAATGAAATTAGTCATGTATGGCAACCACACAGTGCATCATAGTATACCAAAAGTAAAAGTACTAAAAGTAGAATAATGTATGTTATATTATTGGATTGGATTGATCATTACTATCTACATCTTCTCTTATCTTAACCTATAATAATGTATTTGTTGAATATATTTTGTTTCATTAGTAATATAGTATTAAGAAAACTGTCCATCATGAATCCATCTGGAGTACTCTTTTAACACGAACTGTACCAGAACTAAAATGTATGAATGGATAATTTAATTCCTTGGTCTGTACTAAATTAACTGAGTTACGGGTAATTTGTTGGGTCACTACAGGCTACCAGACCAGCTTCGGTGCACCTTAGCATTGATTCTACAAGTCTCCGAAACTTTACCTGAGAGATGATCATCACTTTATTCAGGTTTTTCCTTTAATTTGTTTGAGCAATGTGTTAGCAACTTATTCCTGCTGTAAATTCCCCTCATCCGTCGCAGTTGCTACGTTACGCCTACAAATATATCAGCACTACTGGGGAAAACAGATGTAGGTGTGTCAATTGGGTCTCCTTTTAAAAAAGCCGGAAGGTTGTGTAGTTGTTACTGCGACGGCTTCTTAATGGCATCCTAGAGTGGAATACTTTGTTTCTTAAAAGATTACTGTAAGGCGTTTAGGTTTTATTAAATACTTTATACAGTGGACGAAAGAGAATGATCAAATGAGCTGTAACGTAGATCATTGGGTGTGTGTGCAACTGTAAGTGTGTGTGTTAGAGGGAGGACAGCTCTGGTCAAATGCTGTGGATCATTAAACACAGATGAAGGACAGACGGAAGGTTGACTTGCCTCCAGCCTGCTCTCCATCTTTCCATGCCATTCTCTCTCACCTCTGTGTGTCTCTGGCTCTCTTACCGGTGGCTGCTCCTCTAACATTAACACTAATAGTGTTATCATGGACTCTCATATAACTTCATTACCCTGATATGACTTCCTTCTTTATTCCCTCTGCCCCCAACCTATTGCTCTCTCTGCCTTCCCCCTTTCTCTCAGTGGTCAAAGTGGACAGAGGAAGGATGATCACCATTACAAAAGATGAAGTTGAAGGTGAGAATGCCATGTTTTTATGTCACAGTGTACAATTTTGTCATAAAGAAACAATGCCATTTGAACATTTTCACGCCTGATTTCAAACAGCATCAATGTATTACTGGCACGCAGGGTGCCACTTCTTCGCCTGGAGGTTGCCCCGGGCCTGTGGCTTAATGCATCTTCATATTATATTGAACAACGAGCTGCAGTAATTGTATGGCGGAGCAATGAGCATTTGTTCCATTTACAGAAGTGAATGTAATGAATAGTCCTTGGTGGTGGTGGTAAATGCACATAATGGCCCAAGGTCGTGTGAATGCGTGTGAAAAGGGTTGATAATCTTGGCAGTGTAACTCACAGACATTTTAAATGCCTTAATTTAATTTAATTACATTAAAAGTAGAAATGAGTCAAATATTTACAGATGAGTTTGTAGTGGCTGTTAATAGACTAGGCTACTGCTCAGGTTTGTTTAAAGGCCGACACCAGCAGTGTCTACACATACACACATACAGTGTGGTCTGTAAGTAAAATGGCAGTTTTGTTGTTGTTTTAGCTCTACTCTAGCTCATTAGATTTGAAATTAAATAACTATGAAGTTAGAGTTCCAACTTTCAGCTTTAATTTGAGGTGTTTATGTGAACATCAGGAGAACACTGAAAGAATTGTGGCCCCAAAATATTCCCCCAATTAAGGGAAAAATATAAATAATATATTTAGAGAAAAACAATTAATAGGACAAATGAAAATAAACTTAAATAATGTCATTTTATTTGAAATTTGGTTTCAAATTGTTTTCTGACATCTATGACCCACAAATATCAGCAGACATGCCAAGAGTTGCATGAGGAGACGGATTCTACTTTTATGTCGTGCTGTGAGTGTGGAGCTAGAGCCAGGAGGCGATTAGCTTATCTTAGCAAAAATCTTAGCAGAAATTTATTTTGTCGTTTTAGACAGGAAAGGGGGTGAGAGAGAGGGGCTGAAATAAAACCTGGGTTGCTGCGGTATGGACTCAGCTGTGGTACATGGTGTCACGCTCTACTAGGTGAGCACCCTGCTCCTCCCTTTCTCTTATGTCTGCACTGACTATTTGTTTTATTAATGATGGAAAAAACTTACAAAACACACTTTTTTTCTCTAAAAAGTTACAACTTTTTATCTGAATATTACCCCTCTGTCCCAGCTTTGTAATTTATGTAATAATATCATGAATGCCCTAAAACGTCGCCATAATCTGGCTCCATCTGAAGTTAAAGAATATGCCAACCTGAACAGGAATGTAAGTTGTGGGGAGTTACTTTCTGAACACACCAAACACCCTCATAATTTAACATCAGCACTTCAACCTCATAGTCATAGTCATTCATATAGTTTCATTTCAGATCCAATGCTGGAGTACAGAGCTACAAAAATGAAAAATGTTTCACCACTTACAGACTGCACTGTACACACACACATTTAAGCACACACAGGCTTGTTGCTCCTACCAGATCAGCATATCCCATTTCATTGTGCTCTCTCTGGACTGGAGTTCCTCTCTGATCCATCACTGCAGCTCTGCAACTCCTCAGGGAATACAAACAGAGACAAGACTTACAGAGAGACAGACAGGCACAAAAACGAAGCCTTTGGACAAAGTCTGAACACTCCATCGTCCTTCAGCCGCTTGGAGTGTCATTGAAAGTGAGCTGACTCAAGCTATTTGACTATATGTTATCTGTGATTCTTATGTATTAAGGATGGAGGTGGAACTGGGGGCAGTAAGGTAAAGCTAACAAACTGTGTGTTTGACTCAGATTCACCAGACAAAGCATGACATTTCCTGATGCAAATATTAACAAAAAGAGAATAAAAAAAGCAGTGTCTGCACATTCATTCTCACTGACCTTGTTCAAACTTTTTTTTCCTTCCTCCTCTACCTCCTACTCTCTTTGCTCTGCAGGTCAGGTCAAAGCTCCTTTCCCTCCCACAAATGTCCATGCCTGCGAGGTGAGCGACACCTACGTGGTGCTGAGCTGGACCGAACCTGATCCAAGAGGCAGGGAGCCGCTAACCTTCTACGTGGAGCGGGTCAGTCACCTACACATGCACACACACACACACACACATGGTGCTCCATATATGCTGGATTATAAATATTTATTAACATATATATGGTTAATATATCTATATATATCTATATAACTATTTTTTCATATATATGAAAAATAAATTGCCCCTATAGTAGCCCTTTAAGTAAACAATTAGCAAGCCTTCCTGCCTCACTGTGGACCTTTTTTGGTCTTCATTAGTATAGAGAACAAGAAAACACACGCCATCACCCACATACACACACCTACAAAGAGATATTCACAAGTATTCACTATACTAACAACATCAGACACATGCATTCTCTCTCGCACATACAAAAACACCCATACAAGTATAAATATATTCAAACCCAAACAACCACTTTAATTAGTAATACCTACGCATCCACTGAACACAAAGATCACTGTTCTTGCATCATCATTTCCTCCAGTCCCTTGTTGGCTCCGATGCTAGAACGTGAGCCAAATTACAGCAAGCTCCTGACCACAGCACTAATCAAAGAGACAGGATAAGGAAACACACACACACACACACACTTCTACCTCTGTGGTGTCAATTTAGGTGGGAATTTGTGGACTCATTAAAAGCAAACAGACCTTGATGTTGCTCTTTCATGACATGTGCTTCAGCAATGGGGGTTTGATTTCCTTGCTTGCATGCTTGAAATAGTTGTTTACTTTCTAACTACTGTATTACCTGGATCTGAGATCTAAAAGGTTTTGACAAAAGTTAATTCTAGTTTTAACTTATTTAGCAGTGTTTCAATGATACATTCAAGGAACTGAATATACGAGAAAATCCATCTTAAATGTAGATTTACACAAGATTCAAAGTTCAAAAAGATGCCCAAGTAACAAAAGTTTTCTTCCAACATATCATAAGTGTGGAGACTGACCTGTTCTTTAAAACAATAAAGGGCCTTGGATCTCCAATACCAACCCAGACACCCAACAGCTAGCTCCAATAATCAGAAAACTGCCACAGGAAGTAGATTTTTATTGGACTTCTATAAGTTACCAGGGTAATAAAACTGTCAAATCTGTCAAAGGCATCTGAAATTACTAAAGCCTGCTGCTTCACTTCCGCTTATATAATGAAGGGAGCATTCAAATATCCCTTTTGCCCTTGAGCAAGCACTTTATAACCACTGATCTCTTTGACATGACCCGTTCTATTGTTAGGTTTTCCTCCTCAAAGGGAGTTACATAAGGTAATAATAGTAACTCAGAGGAGAAGAACAGAAACGTAAATGCAGACTATCAAAATGGAGAAGGTTAGAACTATTCAGCATCATCAGTTTAGGAAAAGGTGTCAAGATGAGTCACTGGTTGTCTATAATTTACCTGCATGTGTATAGCTGTATAAAAGTCTCTCTGCCTATCATACCAAACTGCCAATCTTTATTCCTCTTTGCCCTTGTCTCTGCGTTAAGTGGTGGTTTGCCAGATAATCGGCAGTTAACTACAGAGTAAGTTACTGTGCAAAATTGGAATGATACATGGGACTTTTTTAAAGCTTATTTGGCAGTCATGGCAGTCCTTCACTCTTTTGCAGATTGAATCCTCCAGTGTATTTGAAGGAATAATGAACATGTCCTTGAGATAAATAGTGCTTTTGAAATTATCTTTGTGATTTTCTAATGCTGTTCATGGATCAGTCCCTGGCAGGGAAGAGCAGCTGGGAACTGGCCAGTCTGGACATGGTGGTAAACTCTCCCAGGTTTCCAGTGTTTGACCTGGTCAAGGACAAGCAGTACTGCTTCAGAGTGCGCTCCATCAATAAGTATGGTGTCAGTGACCCCTCTGAGCCAAGTGAACTGATCTCGTTGGGAAAGCCACAAGGTGAGAAAATCTACTGTACCCATGTATTACTCTGTTAATTGTGAAGGTGAATTGTATTTTGTAGTTCTATTTTTTTTACATTTCGTATCGTACCCACTGCAGTGCACACATAGAGGAATTTGTTTACAATAAAGTTGTAAAGTTGCGTTCCATCTTGTAAGATCATCTGTCTGCTTGAGTTGCTGCACATTGCATTAGGATCACAATTTGTACAGTCATGCCTCAAGAATAAAAACAATAGTGATGGGTGTAGTCATATGAATTAGTGATCTGGGTGATATGTAGCATTTTAAGATAAATGCATTGTCCGATAACTGCACTCACGAGGCAGATATATCATCCTAAATGACAGCAAATCTAATATAAAACCATTACTTGCTGTCGTTATATATATTTATAATATATTGTTTTACTGTATAGAATGATGCAGTTGAATGACATCACTTCTGACTACTCCCATTCTCCCTTAAACACCAGTGACATTCTGAAATCGACAGCATGTTTGTATTAGATTGTACTAATGTAATAATGGAATTATACATGACTTTCTTTGTTTTGATATTGCCATTATATATCGGGCATCAGCCACCCTGCTCTCTAAATATTGGCATCTGCTATTGAAAAACCTATATCAGTCAACCACCAATATGAATGAATGAATAGGTCGATGGTATGTTTGGTGTATATTTCACAGCCTGTCACTCAGATGAGGCTTATTTTAGTATAAGAGCTCCACATAGTAACAATCTACAAAATTGATGCCCAACTCCCTGAGCAGCAGCAGCAGTGGAAGAAGAACTCAGATCCTGTACTTGCTTGAAAGAAGCAACAATGTAAAAATACTCCTTTATGAGTAAATCCCTGTTTTAAAAAGGTACAGAAGTAATATTATTAGAATGTGCTTGAAGTATCAAAAGCAAAAGCACTGTATGATACTGCATAGCCCCTTTTAGAGTGTTACATTATTATATATAGATTATAATTAATTATTTGTTTCAGCATTTTAATGTTGTTGCTGTTTAGGTGGAGCTCTTTTTAACTACTTTATATACTGAAGGGGTAGTGTTTCTATAACAATGCATCATATTTTGTTTGTGGATCATATAAACATATGATATATGTAAAAGATAAATCTGCAAAGTAGCTTGTACCTGTCAGTTGTCAGATAAATGTAGGGTGATAAAATAAAATGTGTCTGAACGCTGACATAATGTAAGGTGAATCACAGGTAAAATTTCTGTGATGAGACTTCCTCATATTTTAAAGCTCTGTGTGAATGTTTGAAAATCAAAGGGAGTGTTGATTGAATTCTATCTTGTTGTAAATTTCCATTTGATGATTTAAGCTAAAGGTTTTTACCTGATGTCTTTTCTTCTGATTCTCATCAGGTGCACCAGCTCCACCTCACTCTGTCATGGCCATCAGAGACACAGACACCTCAGTGCTGCTCCAGTGGCAGGAGCCCAAAGATAAAGACAATATCCTGGGCTACTACCTGTACTACAGTGAGACTGGCAAACAAGACTGGAAGACTGTCAACAACAAGCCTGTTACCAAACCCAGGTAATTGGGACAGATATTAAAACATGTTTTTTGTCATGTTTCTGGTTGGTTGCAGATACAATAGCTGGTGACAATGTTAGTCTGATTGAAAAATAAACAATAGTTACAGATGTATTTCAACAGAATACAGCCAAGTCATTACATTGTGCTACAGATGCCTGAGCTTTGTCTCTCCTCCTTAGATTTACAGTGGATGGCCTTAAAACCCGAGGGGAATATGTGTTCAGGGTGAAGTCTGTAAGCCGAGCAGGAAACAGCGACTACTCAAATGAGTCTTACCCCATCCTCGTCAAATCAGCAATTTGTAAGTGCACCTGCCACCCAGGTCCCAAAATAGTGGACACAAAATTTCAGGTTTTTTAATATTTTCTGAGGCTTTCACTAACTCAGCAGCTCATGGTTCTCACAGAAGTTGATTTTAAAGCATGTGGTATTAACTGTAGTACAGTAAATGTTAAATCTTTTAATCGCTGCATTGTTGTTAAAGGTTTTATAAGTATTTGTTATTCTTAGAGCTACCCAACACTATGTGAAGAATGCAGATGGATAAATGTTATACTTTGCATCTGAGATATTTTCTGTGTAAGTGCAGGTTCAATTTAAACCAAAACACATCTTTTCTTGGCCTGTGAGATAAAATTATTTCGGTTTTGACTGGATTTTAAAGTATATTCACAAGAATCTTCCAACCAGATTTATTCATGTGTAGTTTTTTCCTTTCCCTCTCTGACAAAAAGAATGTGTGTATCTCCTCAAAGTTAAAAATGTGTAAGTTTTATAGTATTATAAGTACTTTTAGCAGGCAGATTAGTAAAACCTGTGTCACACTGTGTCCTCGACATGTGTGCAGCTTTTCAAGTAACATCAGAATCAGAATCAGAATCAGAATGAGCTTTATTGCCAAGTAGTGTTTTACACATACAAGGAATTTGCTTTGGTGATAAGGTGCTACACGTAGACAAACATAAAGTTGACATAAAATATGTAGAAATATATAAATATGGAATAGACAATGCAAGTTATATAAGAATAATAAAAGAATAGAGAAAAATAATACAACTATTTGCAGAGAAAGGACGTGTTGCAACGGAAGAAAGTACTGTATACATAAATTGACAATATAAAAATATACAACAACAAAGATTAACAATTAAGAACAAATATGTGCAGTGTGCCAGGTTTGTGCGTAATATGAAATGAAATAATATTTACATGTGCAGAGACAGTTGTATTATTTTAAAAGGGGGACCCGGGTCTTGTTGATGAGGCTAGCTGCAGATGGGAAGAAGCTGCTTTTGTGGCGAGAGGTTTTGGTTCTGATGGTCCGCAGCCTCCTGCCAGAGGATAGAATCTGAAACGGTTTGTGTCCAGGGTGGGAGGAGTCAGCTGCAATCTTTCCTGCACGCCTCAGAGTCCTGGAGGCGTACAGGTCCAGAAGTGATGGAAGATTGCAGCCAATGACCTTCTCTGCAGAAGGTGATTGTTTGACTCAGGTATGTTTGGCTCAAGTAGTACAAAGAAAAGTACGTGTGGGCAAAAACAGCCTACAGTGTTGTACCACGACACTGTTAGTGCTACTGGTGTCATATTCCAGTGAGCTTGTGCTCCTTCCACCTTTCGGTCTTCATATGTTTTTTCATGTAGCCTTCACCAGATGACTCTCGGCAATAACTGACTGTAAAAATGAATGCCTTTTCTTTTTGTGCTTGGTTTAGAGCTGTGTGGAGATTCTGACCCTTCTTGCTTCTCGTATTGCAGTCTCAGATAATGTGCTCTCTGCAGTGAAATCGTGACTCATTTTGCTTGCTGCTCACTGCCAGAATATATTCTCACATCTATTCTGCCACTCAGACATTACCTAAGGATAAATGGTCCAATTCTTTGTGAGGAATACATTTTTATCAAATAGAATATGAGTTGAATATTTCTTTCGGTCTCATTTTGGAATGCTTAATATAGGCCTAGAGTTATGAATTTGCAACTCTAGACAGGAGTAGTTGGCCAGGGAGTTATTGTCATTTCTCGGTCTATTTAGCAGGAATCGGTGCCTGAGATTATTTCCTCTATCAAATATCATCACATGTCATTCTTTCTGCTGGTTCCAGATGTTCCTTCTGCTCCCTCTGACATCGCTCTGCTGCTGTGCACTGGATCAGACATGGTGTTGGGCTGGAGGGCCCCCACATGTAACGGGGGGGACTCTGTGCGCGGATACTACCTGGACCAGAGGGAAAGGGGCATGGAAACATGGAGGGAGGTCAACGTGAAGCCTGCCAAAGAGAGGCAGTTTAAGGTCAGTCATGCTCTAGCATGATGCAATTATGGTGTGGTTTTTAGCCCTGCTAGTGCCATGGATCAAAGGATGGCCAGTCAGTCGTTCCACCACTTTGGTCCAGACTGAAATATGTCAACAACTGTTGGATGGATTGCCATGAAATTTTGTACAAACATTCAGGGTGCACAGAGGATGAATCCTAATGAATTTGGGGATCTGCTGACTTGCATTACCATGAGGTCAAATATTGAATTTGTCCGGTAATGTAGTTAATTACCAAATACATGCAAACCTAATGATTGCAAGGCTCAGCTAATACTTTGCATGCTAACACACTAAACTAAGATAATGAACATTATATGCATTATACCGTCTAAACATCAGCGTGTTAGCAATGTCATTGTGAGGGTTGTTAGGTTGCTGACATTAGCCTTTAGCTAAAAGCACCACTGTGCCTCATTGAGCTGCTAGCATGAGTAGCTGTAGACTCTTGGCTGATGTTTTACATAATGCCCACACGAACCTGCAGTATGCACAACAGTGTCTTTTCTGTTGACTGAGAGTATAAGAACAAATAATTTAGTTTTCAAGTTTTAATGAGAACAAGAAGAAAATAATCAATAAAACAATCCTGCAGTAAGCCGACAAAGAGATTTCTAGTCGCTAATATACCAATAAGGGCTTATTGTTAATATAATTATCCCAATATAAAGGATTTCTCCATTTAGCAGTTGCCTCAAAATAATGGCAATATTGGCTAAAGCGCCCTCATCCACATTGGCTGTGTCACTAGGCAACAAGCAGTGTCCATGGAGACCTGGAAGAAAGTTAAATCTTTAACCTGTCTCAGGAAGATTACAGGTGCTCCGTAATTAGAGATTGTGCAAATGTGTTATGTCTGAGTGGTTGTTTTTAGCTCCTGGAAAAAACAAAGACAAAGCTAATTAGAAAAAAAAACAACTGTGCAACTATATCAAGATTAGCCCTGCACATTGTGAAGTGAATCTTGAGGATTAGAGACCCCTTTCCCAGAAGGAAACCTCTGATGAGAACATGCAGCTCCCCCTTTTGGGGTAAATGTGCAATTTCAACAACCTCACGTCCTCAAAAAGTGCAATCTCCACTTCTCACATGAGCTGTTTTACTCTGTTATGTAAATCAGGCTTCTTGGATGCTAAAGAGAGTAATTGGAATATTGATTGTGCTGCGATTTTGTGCTCAGGGCTGCTTTTCTCCAGGTTGGAGTTGTGCTGAAAATGTAAATGACAAAAAAGCTTCCACAACTTTAGCTGACAGGAAGACATGTCACTGATCCTGCTTTATTAGAACAACAACATATGTTGAATTTTTATCTTGTTGGATTGAAATTCCACCAAGGCAAGTTTCTTTGTATAGCACATTTCAACAACAAGTGCTTTACAAAACAACATAAAAGCAACATATGGCAATATAAAAAGACATAAATACAAATAAAAACAGTCGTCAGCCGAGATTTAAAAGAAAGATAAAGAGGAAGACAAACCGTCTAGATGTACACAGATCATTTACTTAAGTAAAAAAAAACATAAAATACATGGAAAAGTTCGTAATTTAAAATCCTACTTAAAGTACAGAAGTCTTATCAGAAATTTGTACTTTAAGAGTCAAAAGTAGAAGCAGTCATTCCACAAAAGAATTACCCCTCTGAGTAATATATTGTTATATATCACATTATTAGATAGCAAATACTAAAGCATCAATGCATAAGCAGCATTTTACTCTTCTAGTCGGTCATTGTGGAGATCGTTTTAACTATTTAAAAGTAAGGGTCACTCCCTCTAAAGTCTTAAATCTGAGGTTTTGTGAGATCATTTAAGGGGTAAAAAAGATGAAAAAAAACAAGTTCTGTTACGCAAATTTATATTCACTTTTTGGAATGTTCTCTAATCTTTGCTTATTTTGTGTAATATTGGGATACTTTTTCCTCTTTGGGCTTCAAACATTTATTTAAATCAATTCAGATAAGAAGTTTAAAGGATAAATAACGCTTTGGTGAAGCTGCTAAAAACTTTTGAAAAATGACAAGGGGCCCTAACTATACGCTGAATATTTGTACAGGGGCAGAAACCAAACATGTAAGAAACCACTGTTTAAACAGTGCATTGAATTTTATAAGCAAATCATATATTTTTTTATGTAAAATCTAACCCACAATGTAACCAATAACACAGGTAGAGGTAGAGTAGAGGTATAAATAAGCATTAAATGGACATACTCATAAAAAGTCAAATTGTACTTAAGGACAGCACTTGGGTAAATGCACTTAGTCACTTTCCATCGCTGATGTGTGAAATTAATCAAATGCAGCCAGTTTGCCATCTAGTGGTTGAAAGCAATGCTTTCTTACATTTATTTTGGCAGGCAACCTTTACATTTTTTGGGGTGGACTGTATGTCGATCTGATAAGAGGTTAGAGAAGGTTCTATAGATAGTGAAGGGGGTGGTAGGTGCAGGGAAATAGTTTTTTAGATAGTGATTTTTATTATTGTGAAATAAGCTCCTCTGGTTGTGTCAAAGCAGAGAGTGAGCCAAGAGCAGCAACATAAGTTCACAACTTTTCACGGAGGCGATGAGGGCCTTAAAGTCTAAGAGGCTGTGAATAGGAAGATCAATGAACAGATCAATAAGGCTGAATCTTTTCTCTTCCCGAAGCCAAAGCGTCTCAGGGGGCTCTGCAAAAAAATAAAAAATGCTGTGGCAGCAGAGCTAATACCTTATAAAATGCCTGTTTGGAGGGGTGTAACTGTACAACCAGGGAACTTTTGCTGCTGTACACTGTGCCAACTGATATAGGATACTAGTGTGAACTGAGTCATTTTGATTTATTTGATTTATTTTCTTTTGTAGCATTAAACAATGCTACAAAAGAAGGAGTTTAGATAAAGAAATCCCAATTCAAGTCAGAACTTTATTGAAGGTAATATATGATATATAAGAACATTCATAGATGACTGATAAAACATGTGCTGTTTTATAATAGAGAAATTAGAATAAATACAAATTAGATAGTCCATCTTGCCATCTCTTCCAGGCTTTTGAATTAACAAACTTAACCACATCAGACGGTTTCCAGTATTTGATCATCTGTACACCAGAATATTTCAGGGTCTTGTCGAATCATGGAGTCATGGAAAATTGACATTGTTTTCCTCCTGAATACATTTGAATCTGCCAACCTTAGTGGCCACAGAATGAAAATCTGTTCTCAACTGTGAAACTAAAGATCTTTGGCTTGAGTGAGATGGGACATGTAAAGTATGATTCAGGACCAAACTTTGGTATATTATTCATACATGTCCTTAATTATGGTTTAGACTAGATATTTTCAAACTATGTTTCTCCTTTTAAAAGAATTCAAAGTAAGAATATATACTGTAAATGTAATCTGCACCTGTTTGTCTTCAGTTCGGCTGCTGGAGATTACCATAATTTCACTGGAGTTAATCAGCTTTTCTATGCCTGACAAATTCCCATAGGTTTGCAGCTTGACTAGCAGACATTTCTACCAATTTCGAGTGTTTGCTGCCAATGTGGCTGGTGTTGGGAAGCCCTCTAAGCCCAGTGAAGCTTTCCTTTGTGAGATGTGGACAATGCCAGAGCCAGGTGAGGACAACATGTCAGTTCACTTTCACATCAGTTCTTTAAGAAATTTTATTTCATTTTGTAGATTACTGAAAAGATATCTCTGAACACCTGCATGTGTGACGGGTGTCTCAGAGGTCAGCACAACTTAAATTAAAGTGAAAAAAATCCTCCACACTGTTTTCCTTACTGCTTGATAGATTATTTAAATATCCCCCTCAGCCATGTTTTTAAAAAATAATCTCTGGTTTGCATAATAATGTGAGTCTTATAAGATTTTCCCATAAAATCTATCCAGTATGAATGAACTTTTAAAATTTTAACTTTAAAAAAAATAGTTTAACTACTGTTTACTGTTTCCCATTCCGCTGGACAGTCCATTCTCTGTGTATGTATACTAAAAGTTTCAGGTTTTCACATCACACTTGTGTTAGCTGAATACTGGACCAGGATTAGCTTCCAAAGTACTTGTGATGTCACAAAGTCACGTACATATGTGTTAAACTCAGATTTAAGGTGAGCACAATGAGACTTTCCCCCTTCAGCAGATTAAGGTGAAAATAACCATGTCAAATCTTGTCAAACTCTGAACATATGTCTTATTGCACAGTGCAGGTCAAATGAAGTGATCTTTTTGAGTTGAGGGGGACTTTAACTTTAGAAATGAAAAATGTCCATCTGATCCAATTATTTCAGAGCACTGAGAATTTGAGTCTCTGCATTACCACCCTGACCTGCATGTCTATCTAAAGACTTTAGTTTACATAACAAAAGGTTTATTGACCATGGCTTGGAAAGGGAGGTGAGATTGATACACCATGCATCAACCTGAAGGACCCATTACCACACACTACCATTTTATTTTTATTTAAAATGACACCATTAAAAGTGCACACGGTCACCCGACAATAAAATAGATAGGTCAAAATGAAGTACCAGAATAAAAACAGGCTATTTGCATAGGTCAGCAGTCAAGTGCATTATACAGTAGCTGAATAATACCTAAAATAAGACTCTCGAGTTAGTGGAATTATGTGTTGCGTATCACTTGTCTTTTAATATTGCCCTGGCTGGTGGATATGCTGCTGAAGTGTCCTTGAGCAAGACACTGAATGTCCATGTATTGGCTAAAGTGTCTCACTGTGTGTGAAAGTCTATTTAAACTTCTGCTGCTGCATTGTTAGTGCAGTAACAAAACTTGGGTAAAAAAGTCTGTAAATCACCGGAGGCACCACTCTGCTGCTCGTTAAGCTCATTGCTTTGAGCACACAGTAAGAACTGAAGGAGAGTCAGATGAAAATATCAAACACAACTCCTCTCTCATTGACCGTAGTGGCTGGACAGTAAGAGAACAATGTTAAGAGAGATTTTAGTCAGAAATCAACCTGAAACAATAAAAATGGGGGCGTGCAAATAGGATACATACTCTATGTGTATATAAGCACACACACACACACACAGACTCACCCATTCCAGTAGCCTATGTGGTTGCTCAGTAGACAGCGGAGCAGTTCTGGTTCCATTCACATCAGTTTCATGTGACATTAATATTGAGAGCAGAGAGGCTCTCTCACAAATGCCACTTTTAAAGTGCAGCTCATTAATCTTGGCAAATGGGCTTTTCTGTATGCCATTAATAATTTAAATGCGACCAAAAATCATTAAGCAAATGAACTACCACATGCCAGCATATAGTCAGTAGGGGTAGATTAAGGATAGTAACTGTACTGATTTTGATTTTACTCTTATTTCTGTTTTGTTTTGTTATGGCTTCCCAAAAGACAGAAGTCCTGTTTAGTTGGTTTTGATATTTCTGATTCTGTTTCTGATATGGTCAGTGGGGAGTATATACAGACCAATACTTTTTTTTCCTAAGTTTTCTTATAGTTTATTTCAGTGAGAAATTAGTTTTTTGGCCACTGGGTTTTTGAAACACAAACACAGACACTCCGTAGCTATACTATAGCTCCTGTGATCCTTGCTCCTCCCTCTCAGGTTGTCCCTATGACCTGGAGTTGCGGGAGGTGAGAAACAGCTCCCTGGTGCTGCTGTGGGCAGCACCGTTATATGAAGGAAGGAGCGCTGTCACTGGATATTTGCTGGAAATCAGCCAGGGTGACCAATCAGACAACTGGATTGCTTTGAATAAAAAAACAGTGTCTGACACACATTACAAGGTGAGTGGAGCTGTAAAAATGTTAACAAGCGTCAAGTTTTTTTTTTAATTAGGATTCATCCATTACCTGATTTAACAATGCCTGTGATGTATAAAGTATGACTACTATACATGCCCGGAAAGTATTATTCTATTACTGTACATCCATCTAGCAGAACATTGAAGTGCTCCAGTATTTCATTCCCCTGTTTTTCTGTGGGTCTAAATCTTTAAATAATCATGATAAAATATGACAATGATCTGTAAATATTTCATGTGGTTCTTATGACATCCAGGTGTCAGGGCTTCAGGTGGGTCAGACCTACCGTCTCCGTGTGTTGGCTGTCAATGAGGCTGGAGTAGGGTGTGCTTCCCTGCCCACTGAGCCAGTCACAGCTCAGACCAGACAAGGTCAGCCATCATGGTTCCAGATATATGAATATTGTAATAGAAAAACATCACCTCCAAGGCTTGTTGGAGGTGCTGGACCCAAGATACAATATACAGTGGGTACGGAAAGTATTCAGACCCCTTTAAATTTTTCACTCTTTGTTTCATTGCAGCCATTTTCCAAAATCAAAAAAGTTCATTTTATTTCTCAGTAATGTACACTCAGCACCCCATCTTGACAGAAAAAAACAGAAATGTAGAAATTTTTGCAAATTTATTAAAAAAGAAAAACTGAAATATCACATGGTCATAAGTATTCAGACCCTTTGCTCAGTATTTAGTAGAAGCACCCTTTTGATCTAATACAGCCATGAGTCGTTTTGGGAAAGATGCAACAAGTTTTTCACATCTGGATTTGGGTATCCTCTGCCATTCCTCCTTGCAGATCCTCTCCAGTTCTGTCAGGTTGGATGGTAAACGTTGGTGGACAGCCATTTTCAGGTCTCTCCAGAGATGCTCAATTGGGTTTAAGTCAGGGCTCTGGCTGGGCCATTCAAGAACAGCCACGGAGTTGTTGTGAAGCCACTCCTTCGTTATTTTAGCGGTGCGCTTAGGGTCATTGTCTTGTTGGAAGGTAAACCTTCGGCCCAGTCTGAGGTCCAGAGCACTCTGGAAAAGGTTTTCGTCCAGGATATCCCTGTACTTGGCCGCATTCATCTTTCCCTCGATTGCAACCAGTCGTCCTGTCCCTGCAGCTGAAAAACACCCCCACAGCATGATGCTGCCACCACCATGCTTCACTGTTGAGACTGTATTGGACAGGTGATGAGCAGTGCCTGGTTTTCTCCACACATACCGCTTAGAATTAAGGCCAAAAAGTTCTATCTTGGTCTCATCAGACCAGAGGATCTTATTTATCACCATCTTGGAGTCCTTCAGGTGTTTTTTAGCAAACTCCATGCGGGCTTTCATGTGTCTTGCACTGAGGAGAGGCTTCCGTCGGGCCACTCTGCCATAAAGCCCCGACTGGGGATTGCTGCAGTGATGGTTGACTTACTACAACTTTCTCCCATCTCCCGACTGCATCTCTGGAGCTCAGCCACAGTGACCTTTGGGTTCTTCTTTACCTCTCTCACCAAGGCTCTTCTCCCCCGATAGCTCAGTTTGGCCGGACGGCCAGCTCTAGGAAGGGTTCTGGTCGTCTCAAACGTCTTCCATTTGAGGATTATGGAGGCCACTGTGCTCTTAGGAACCTTAAGTGCAGCAGAAATTTTTTTGTAACCTTGGCCAGATCTGTGCCTTGCCACAATTCTGTCTCTGAGCTCTTCAGGCAGTTCTTTGACCTCATGATTCTCATTTGCTCTGACATGCACTGTGAGCTGTAAGGTCTTATATAGACAGGTGTGTGGCTTTCCTAATCAAGTCCAATCACTATAATCAAACACAGCTGGACTCAAATGAAGGTGTAGAACCATCTCAAGGATGATCAGAAGAAATAGACAGCACCTGAGTTAAATATGAGTGTCACGGCAAAGGGTCTGAATACTTATGACCATGTGATATTTCAGTTTTTCTTTTTTAATAAATTTGCAAAAATTTCTACATTTCTGTTTTTTTTCTGTCAAGATGGGGTGCTGAGTGTACATTACTGAGAAATAAAATGAACTTTTTGATTTTTGGAAAATGGCTGCAATGAAACAAAGAGTGAAAAATTTAAAGGGGTCTGAATACTTTCCGTACCCACTGTATGATAATAGGAAAAGAGCCACACAAAAAAAGTTATTTATTGAGACAAACTTTTGATCAAGGACCTTCTTCTGCCTTTAAAGGAATAGTTCAACATTTTGGGAAATACACTTATTTGCTTTTTTGCAGAGAGTTATATTAATACGACTTTCATGTCTGTTAAATATGAATCTTGACTGTTCGCTTAGCTTAGCATAAAGCCCAGAAACAGGGGGAAACTGCTAGCGTGGCTTTGTCCAAATGTGTCTGGCTCTAGTACTTTAGTAGGCTAGTAAAACTGCCAAAACATTTCACAACAATAAAACTTTAGCATATTCAGTATTACATAAGTTAAAGTATTGATAAATGCAGCAATGAATGACAAAATCCTGTTTCATCTTCAGGCACCAAAGACATTGAGATTGGAGTGGACGATGATGGTTTCATATTCCTGGGCTACAGGCCTGACGAGGTGAGCGACGACAGCGAATTCCTCTGGAGAAAAGACTACGCAGAGCCCATAGACGCCGGGAGAGCTCGGGCAGAAACCAAGAAGAAAGGGTATGGTTGTTCATGTGCAACATGAACTGAACTTCTATACTTGTTTGAATTCCAAGAAATCTGAGGTTTCACACTTACTCTCTCAGTAAGCGTCTCTGCCGGTTAATCCCTCAGCATCTCTGTGCGTTTCACACATTTGTTCAGCAGTGACCCAAGAAATACTGTTGACCCTGCAACTTGGACAGATTTTAAACTAACCAGGACTGTGGATGTCAAATAACACATAACTTTTGTTATGTTTTTAAATAAAATGATTAAAATACATAGATTACATTAACATTCAACATGATCCAGACCAATTGAATTTGCTTTGTAAAGCAACATGTTTGGAGCATTTTTCACTGGGATTCCCACCGAATACCAGCCTATTTCACTGAACCCTTCTCTTCGCTTTAGGATGCATGCTAGCTCTCATGCATTCATACCGTTTCACTCATTGATATCATGTAAAACAATAATTTCATGCTTTTTAAGTTCAGCTGCCTGAAAGGTGCAAAGATGCATCTGTTTGTCAATTTTGTCCAACAGGTCAGCCCTCACCTTCACAGACCCGTCTGAGGAGGACCTCGGTCTCTACACAGTGGAGATGAGTGACAACCCAAACTTGTCGTCCAGCTATGACTTCACTGCTGAAGGTAAACTAAAATACAGTATAAGGTTTGGAAACTGTCTTGTTCAATTCACAACTTCACCTCAGACACAATGACAAAAACACAGTTCAACTGAGTCATTTCTTGTGATATTGAAAAAGCTGACAGCAGCCGGAATAGCAGGTTTAATTTGAAGGGTTATCAAGCTTTTCTCTCAAGCAAATAATTAAGCCGCTACAACCACTTCCACAAGGTCACTCATCCAACTAAGCATATGTTCTCAATCAACTTTTCAGCTTAAAATAGAACAATGGCTTGCATGGCTCTATATCACTTACTGACACTTTGACATTATGTAGGGATTGAGAAATGTGAGTTCTGATCAGAGTTTAATTAACCTTCAGCTACTGTTTTATTTCTTTGCAGACCTTGAACGACTCAAAGAACTCAGCTGGCAAGTCAGAAATCCACGTATGTATCAAAGAGATTGTACTGAGAGACAGCTGATCAGCTTGTAGCAGAGTAACAGTAAACATGATGTGATATGATGTTGGTATGTTTATATATGTCCATGTTTGTATAGAGATGTTTTTATAGGTCTGGTGAGATCAAAGACAAATTTCCAGCCTTGGCTGGACAATAAAGTGGTATCATGTGTGCTCTTATTTACTGACTTGAAAATGGCATAGACAAGTAAGACAAAGCAAGACTCTTAATTAATCTGTACATATCAGTGTTCATTTAAACACACATTAAGTAGTCCACATTGATTAAATGATCGTCTAATCTAATTCAGCAGATCCTAAAAAGCACTGTTTGTTTTTTGGCAGTAATAGCTCTGAAGTCGGGCTGGCAGGTGGAGGTTTCTGAGAAAGGTGACGTACGTCTTTGGCTTCAGACAGAGAGTCTGAGTAACGCTGCTGAGCTTCGTCTCATCTTCAATGACAGAGAAATTTCCAGCACTCCGGTAAGAACCACTGCACTTGTTATCCTGTGATACTGCAGTTCAGAAAGTACCAACATGTCACACACTCTGGTTGGGTTAGGGGATTTGATTCACACCGTTGCTAAAAAAAAAAAATTCATACTGAAAGGTGTGTTGTATAAAAGTATCAGGGTATGCGTCTTGTTTCTACATTCTGGAAAAGCATTATTGTTTTGCAGAGGTTACTCGTTGTTACTCTAGTACTATGAGCACCTGCCCGACCATCTTAAAGGGATTGTAAGTGACTCTGCAGAGAGATTGTTGATATTTAACTGCCAAACAAATACACCCCTCCTTTCAGTGCTCTCTCAGAAGCTCTGCCCCCCAAATTCATGGACGTCAAAGTGACCACTAGTACTCTGCCGAATTCACAGCGTCTGCTGGCTGAGGGCAAGTTAACTTCAATAAGTTGGAATGTTTTCCGCAGTACTGTAGAAAGTGTGACCATAGGCCTGTCAATATTTAAATATATATTGAAGCAAAATACTTTCCAAACCAAAGTCTACTTTATCCTATCGGTAGGACTTGTAACTTCATCAGTAACGAACTGTGAACGAACACCATCAAACGAACAACATGCAAGCACACAACCACAGCATCCAAAACAAAATGAAGTAAAAAAAACTAGCGAGTTATTTCAAATAATTTTTACAAAAATACAGGGAGTGACAAGAGGACAACACGTTTGTATCAGACGTAAAGCAAACAAGTAAATTAATGTCTCCAGTAATATAAGGCTAACTAGTATAGCATTTTTTATTATGATTCAACCCAAATAATAAATCCCACTGTCTTAGCAAAACTTGTATTTTTAGGTCTTCGTGGCCATAAAAAACCTTCGTAAATGTTTTACCAACAAATACTATTATATAAAGTCAGAGCAGACAAACACACAGCAAGTATCTAATGTAACTACTCTTAGCTCGGTCTGTCGCATCTGCTGCGGTAAAGCTAACAAAGCTAGCCAGCAAAGCTGAAGTTACCCACCTGTCGAGCAGAAACATTGCCTAGAGTCCAGCAATGAATCCGGCATACTAGATTAGAGTACAGCAAATTACATTGCCTGCATCAGAAAGAATTGTTGGGTCAGTCCTGATCAGCCAAATTAATGCATGAAAAATTCAGTTTGCCACAGAAATGAGCAGCAGAGGATCCCAACCTTTTTGTCTTATGCGGCCCCTTGAAATAAAACATTGTCTTCTTGTGACCCCACAACACAAGTTATAGCCTCAGCATGGTCGTGGATTACGAGTAGTGATTTTTTTTTTATAGATTTGTCCTATTCGAAGGACTTTAGAGGGCAGTGAAAGTGAGACTATGCACTACTGGATTTTTACCCCTAAAATCCACTGACTCGGGCTACGGCGCTCCGCTCGGCAGAGAATTGTTAGCAGGTCTATTTTTGCCGCTAACAGCGTCAAGCAGCACAGAGGAGATCGAACCAGACACAAAAAGAAATAATTTAACTACGTAGCCTAACTAATCATAGTAGAAGCACAAAATGCGAACACTGATTACTAAATCAACAAAATCTAAACATGTCATCAAAATCAGGCGGGTAAAATGCTCTGATTCTGAAATGCTCCTTGTGGGAAATGCAGCCTGAAGTTGACAGAACGAAACGGGGTCACATAGAGCTGTGAATAAGGTGGTAGAATCACGGGACAAATTAATAATAACAAGTCAATAACGTGGGGCAGGCTGCACGCTCCGCTGCTGAAACGCTTCTGAGACGCTTCCAGTGGACTTTGACTCCGGGCTATGGACGCAGCCATAACGTGCCGTAGCCGGAGTCAGTGGGACCCTATGTAACTTAGGTCATGTCCTCTAGGTTTGTAACCATTGCTATAGAGTTTATATTTTATCAAATACATTTATATCTAAACTGTTCATGCTAAAAAAGTAGGAAACTTACAGAAGTCAACTCTATAAGGAACAAGGTTTATGTAACATTAGTATGTAGCTGCATGCATCTGTGTTCATGACAAGTCACTATGAATCGAAAACAGCTGTTAGTGTTTTAGAAATCACCCTGAAAGGTAGGAAATTGAGGCTGCCAACAAAGATGAAGAACAGGTGTGCATGGCAGCAGAAAGGTCTGGGAACTGAGGTGATTTCACAAAGTCCAGGAGACAGAAGGACAAACTGAGCTTAATGTGGAGAAGGAGCCCACATCTGTTAGATGAAAGGCAAAGGTGAAATAAATAGATAATTTGGACAAATGTCTTTAAAAATAATCAAATATAAGTAAGTCAAGTCATGTGAAGCATGAGATGTAAAATATATTAAGACATAATAATAAACACGTGTCCCCTCTTTCAGTGTATTTCCTATGACATCCTTTGCACAAGTCATGCTGAAATGTGTATACTTTCACTTATGTGTGGTATGTGGTTCACGTATCTCATGACCTCTGTGAAAGCTACAGCCATTTGCAATTTTATGAACATTTTTACCTTATTATTAACAAAATAATGTAATACTACAGCAAGAGTGATCACCTGCCATTTTAAAGACCTAAAATAAAGCAACAGTATAATCATCAAGGAACACAAACTGAATGTGAACAAACCTCCTCAGTATTGATATATGTTATGACACCAAGCTAAAAATAATCAGCGCTGCCGTCAAGGTTACTGAACCATGCACTGATGTGTCCACAGAGGGAAAACAAATACAACACAGTATATTTATTGTGGTTTTGCAACTCTGTCAGATACATTTTCTGCGTCTGTGTTTGCCCGTGTTTGTGTGAGGTGGGCCACTGCTTTATATTCAGTAGCTTCCATTATTATTCCATTATTTCCTAATATCAAAGCTCCATCTGAACAGAACTGATTACACGTTATTTCTAAATGATCACAGCTGAGCTTTGCAAATTCAAAAGCCATTTTGCTGATTAGGGCCCTCAGGCTTGCCATACATCACAAATCACATCCACTACCGAGGCCTATCAACATGCAAGGCATACACTTATCTTGATGAACATAAAAGCCGTGAAAATGAGCTCAAATGCTGCTTCCTATGTGTGTCTGTTTGTTTGTTTCTGTGTGTGTGCACATATTAGAAAAATGGAATATTTCATCTACAGTGTGCATTTGTCATTTCAGACCCTGTTCATGCATTGAGTCACACTATATTCTCTCTGTATGACTAACCACCTACATGGTTGATTTCAAGTCGCTTGTCTACCTGCCATCTGGGATCATCTGTCTGCATGTGAGCTGATGTGTGCTGTATGTGTGGCCGTGCTTATTTGCTCTGCTGCAGCACCGTAAGATCAACTTCAACAAGGCCAAAGGTCTGGTGGAGATACTCTTTGATCAGCTCTCTCAGGAGGACGAGGGCTCGTACACGGCTCAGATGCGGGACGGTCGCGCCAAAAACCAGTTTACTCTGGTCTTTGTGGATAAAAGTAAGTCATTCCCTCATTTGCCCACTAAGTTGTCATATTGGTTTTTGGTACATACCATAATGAAATACATGCATAAATGTGGAGGAATAATAGAACAGATAAGGCGTCATTGTAAATGTCACACTACATCAATTTACAATGACACAGTGATGAAATGCCATCTTTACTTCCTTAAAGTGACATATTTCTGTTTGAAACAGGGTATTTGGGTGAGACTAGGGCTCTAGATGCCATTGAGGACATTGAGGTTATTTCCTTTGTATAGTTTTCTGGTAATTTGAGGGGTTTAGCAACTTTAGCAACCATCCTGCAATTAAAAACTAACTCCAGTATATTTTAGGGTCAGTCTATTTAAATGTGATTGCTTTAGGACAGTAAATAGGTCATTTAAAATTTCCCCATCACCTTTTTATTCCTGGCATATTGGAGAAGGCTTTGAACATTTTGGTCTCATTATTGAGAAATAAAATGTACAAAAATATGATGGAAAAAGTATGAAAAATCACATCTTTTTTTCAGTGTCTCCTCCCAATGTTTCATGGGGATGGTGACCTTGGTACTTTTGAAATCATACCTATGGCCCTGGGAGAGACTTCTTTAGGACTCATTATTTTTGTGTTTATTGCAAATATTAAATGAATGGGGAAAAAGAAATGTCTACAAGAAAAAGAAAATATTTTTTTAAATACCATTTGCAATTCAAACATTTGCATTTCTCCCCAGATTTCCGTCACAAGAAGACATTGATTACTGTAAACCGTGTTGATCAGCGTCCTCTTCTAGAAGATAAATGCAATAACTTTTGTGTGTGTGTAGGTACATAAAATCCAGGTTAAAATCATTGTTTCAACTGCTCTGCTCCTTTTTTTTTATCAGCTGATCATTTTTTAGGCCAGAATTTCTGGCCACAGTCTAACCAGTGATGTTGCATACATGTTATGCATCTTAATCGCTCGACCACCAGGACTCTGCAGGACCACATTATTCTCAAATTTTAACAATGGGAAATCGGTTATAGAGAAAATTTAAGAGCAGTGCAAGTCTGCATTCATGGTCCAGTTATTTCTGGATGGCAGATATCTGATTTTCTTAATTGTCTCAAAAATTAGAGGACCTGCTTTGAGGAAAGAAAATGTTTTAATTGTCCTTCAGGATGAATAAATTATCCTATACTTATCTCACCAACTTGTGCTCCATTCAGGAGATTACTTTTCTTTCTGTTTTTATTTTTGTTTATTATTATTTCTATTATTTAGTTTGGCTACTTTCCCCCCCAAAAGTGCACTTTCCTCAACAACATATGCATCCCTCCTAAGATTTGCCCAGCAGTTTAAAATGAAGTTAAGATTATTTTGGATATTTACATTTACATATTTACAAAACTCAAAACTTTTATCCAAAGTGACTTACAATTGCTATACATGTCAGAGTTCGCACACCACTGTAGCAACGATGGGTGAAGTGTCTTGCTCAGGGACACAATGGTGGATGGACGTGTTATCCACTGCGGCATTGTCACCCCCCATATATATAAGGAACATAAGAACCTTTAGGAATGGTTATCATCACTTTTTTTATATTTATCTTAAACGTGTATTTTAGTCTTTTCAGTGTTTTCTTGCTTTTATCTTGTATTGTTTTCGTATTATTGTCTTTTGGGTATTATTGTCTTTACACTTGTTAAAGCACTTTGTAACTTGTTTTTGAAAAGTGCTATTATTATTATTATTATTATTATTATTACTTCTGATATTGTTTGTGTCTCTGGCAGAGTTTCGTCAGACACTGGCCTTGGCTGATGCAAATCGTCGTGACCATGAGAGAAAGTCCGGTGAGAAGTCTTCTAACACCAGTAACATACTGTGTAGCAAATGCAATGAGAGCCTTTGCAGCTAGGCTCAGCATGGCTCAACAGCACTCAAATCAAAGTCTAGAAAGTCTCTTGTAGCAAATACTCTGTAAGCATTTGGCTGAAAGAATAGCTGTGTTGTGTCTGTGAGCAAGTGATACCGCATTGCTTAGAAAAGTGATTTTCTTTCATCTCATTCCAAGGTGAATATTACATCCAATGGTTGCAATAGCTTTTTGATGATTTTTGTTTGAAATGACACAGCTCCTTCGTCTTGTCCGAACCCCTTGAAACTGAAGAGTCTCAGAAAGAAAGAAAGGAATCTTCCTGTGCTACTGAACTCCCATGTTTTCATTACCTGAGCTCTCAGACGTGATAAGGAGAAGCTATACAACTCTTCTGTGTGCAGAGGCAAAGGTCCCAGTGCCCGCTTGTGCAAATAGACTATCTCACTCTGTGTCCTCTATTCAAAGTCCATGTGAGACTCCAGCTCCACATAACCAATTTTGTCAATTATTTGCAGAATAATATGATGCAAAAGAGATATTAACCCAGGTGGAACACGTGTTTACTTCTTGTGTTTTGAATAGTCCCACCACTCTTATTATAAACAGCTGTCACTGTCAGTACTCACACAGCCGTATAAAATAATTGCCATAAATGTACATACTATGATTCATTAGTGTTTCTGAATAAATGGTCACTCTTTCTATGGTTCAGTACAGATGGATAATCATTTGTTCTGTTTTCCAAGGACCCTATTTCCAGGAATTCTTGTCGTGGAGTGTAAATGAAGATTGTGAACTGATTATAAAGTGCAAGGTACTTTTATTTTAAAGAAAAAAAATTGCTAATGGCAATAACAGTACTAACTTAACATCACATTAAGAGCCCAAAAATGTTTCATCTTTCATTATTCCCATGAAATCTTTTCTTGTGATGCTAAGTTCACACATCATTTGGAAAATAGACAATTTTCTACTTTTATTATTTATATAGGAATAGTTTGCCGTTCTGGGTGACTTTCTGAAGTCTTTGTGTTTTTCTCTTTATATAACATGTCAATTAGTGAGCAATAGAGGGGCTGCTAGGCAGATTTAGTTACCTTTGGACAGAGCCAGGCTAGCTGTTTTACCCCTGTTTCCAGTCTTTGATCTATAACTTGCTTGTGGCTCCAGCTTCATATTGAGTGGACAGACATGAGAGTCTTCTCATCTAACTCTCAGCAAGAAACAAATAAGTGCAAAATGTTGAACTTTTCTTTTAAATTATTTTGGTAGCACATCACATTTTAAACCAGTGATTACAGCAATTCTTATTGTTTTAATCAGTACACTGTTTTGCAGTGATTACATAAATGTGATTCATTCATTTTAAACCAGTCAATTTTGGTGGAGAGCTTTTACGCTTTTGTTTCAGGTATGGTATATCTCTCCATACACAGGTGACAAATACAAACAAGGACACATCTCTCAAGTGGTTTAAAGACGGCGTGATGACCCAAGTTGTGTATGACCAGTCATCAGGGGTCAGCACACTCACCATCCCTCAGGTATCCAAAATGACTCTACTCTATTTTTAGACTACCAGAGGTGGGAGGGAGTTAAGAGCTCAGGCAAATGTGAATCATCATTTATAAATGGTAGCTGTTGTAGTGAAAGAAAACAAAACAAACCATATTGACAGACAGTGGATATTAGAGGATTTCTTTAAGTCTATATTATTGTGACATGCTCCCAGGTTCACCTTGGAGTGTATTTAAGGTTAACTTGGAATATTATTACATTTGATACATTATGAATATGTTTAATTTCAATATAGAGGATGGTTTTCCCTCAGGTTACAAAGAAAGAAGCAGGCTCATACAAAGCTGTGGTGTCAGATGGGAGGGGAGAGGATGTCAGCACCTTGGAGTTAATGGATGATGGTGAGATGTGCCTTTGACACCAGTGAATAAGTATCCACAAACAATAATCCATTTGTGTACATTTCAATTGCCGCAGATTTCCATGCATAATGGAAATTAGGCAATATGTGTCTTATCTTATTATGTGTCCTCAGCATTCAGCTACCAACCTCTAATCTTGCGTGTGGTATTTATTGAGTTCCAAAAGCAATATAAAACACTGTCTGAACGCTTAATTGTTCTTTTTATTTACAGAGTATGACAAGCTTCTCCAGCAGCTGAGTAAACAATGTGGTGAGTTATTCACAGCTGGAAGCTCTTCTTTAGAGAACAACGTTTATATGAGGCAAAGACTAGTGTTTTTTTTTACACCAGATGTGCTGTGTTGGGATGAGGATAATACAAATGAAAGGCATGTTAATTAATTGTGGAGTGTGTTGTTTCAGAATTTTAATATGTAAGATAAGAAACATGTTTTAAATTGCCAAGGAAACTGAAATGTATGCAAATAATCAGGAGCCTTGCCCTGTCTCTGTCTCCCTTTTCCTCTGCAGCATTGTCTGCCAGCCCACTGAGGATTCAGAGCACTGCTGAAGGTTTAAAGATCTACTGCTCACTTAAACACTATACAAACTACCTGAAGACCAGCTGGTACTTCAAGTGAGTCTGCATGGAGAGCACCTCTCTGAACTAACCAAATTTAAGCAGACTCCTGCAGAGACTCCTGTGCAGGAAAGCAAATGAAATGTAGCTTTAAGTTTATTTTGGTTTCTGTATCATGTAGTGGTGTGGTCACATTGTTTACTGCAAGCCACTGAAATGCAACACTGTATGTCAAATGCCAAGCTCAACACAGGAAGATGCCCACAATACTGTCACCAGCATGGCAGCTCTCTCTTTGGCTGGTAAGGTACTGTGGGTAACTAACACAGCCACAGTTGCAGCTAGTGTACATGTAAACATCATTTACCATAAAAAGAAGCCACACATGCTGGCTTGACTGCTGCACATGCACACACACCAGTCCCAATGGCGGTAAGAGGTATATTAATGTACCGTGACATTTCTCCTCATAGTGGCATAGTCTGGGGCTGCTTTACTAAAGTTCAGCCTCTAAAATACTTATTAAAGTTCAACTGCTAACGACTTAAAAAGTTCAACATCTAAATGCGATAGTAGATCTGGAGCTTGATGTCTGCATACAGATCTTCTCATGTGGAAGCTGGGTGCACATCTGGACACTGAAAGACATGGTTTATCCTGATTAAGATACCAAATATATCTGTATAAATTTAGGATAACGATGATCAAGACATATGAAATAAATAAAAACATGGAAACAAGCTGATACAGAATATATATATACACACACACACACACAAAATTATTCATACCCATGGCAAATTCTGACTTAAAGTTACTGTTATTCAACCAGCAAGTTGTTTCTTGATTAGAAATGACACAGGCGTCTCCCAGAAGATAAGACGATGTACAAGAGGCATCATTGTGGAAAAAATTACTCATCTTTTATTTACATTTGAACAAAAAGTGGCATGTCCAAAATTATTAATACCCGTCTCAATAATCAATCGAAATTACAGCAATCAAACGCTTGCTATAATTGCTGACCAGCTTTCTTCATGTGTCCACTGGTATTTTTGCCCATTCATCTTTAGCGATGAGCTCCAACTCTTTCAGGTTGGAGGGTCTCCTTGCCATCACCCTGATCTTTAGCTCCCTCCACAGATGCTCAATGGGATTTAAGTCAGGACTCTGGCTGGGCCACTGCTAAACGTTAATGTTTTTGTCTGGTAACCGTTTCTTCACCGCGTTTATTGTGTGTTTTGGGTCGTTGTCGTGCTTAAATGTTCACTGGTCCCCAAGGCCAAGTTCCTCTGCAGACTGCCTGATGTTGTTGAGAATTTTGATGATTGCTCCTTTTTCATGGTGCCGTTTACTGTGATTAGGTTCCCTTGTCCACTGGCTGAAAAACAACCCCAAAACATTAGGTTCCCACCACCATGTTTGACATGGGGATGGTGTTCTTAAGGTTGAAGGCTTCTCCTTTTTTACGCCAAATGAAGGCTACATTATTGTGGCCAAACAATTAAATTTTTGTTTGATCTGACCATAAACAGAAGACCAGAAGTCTTCTTCTTTGTCCAGATGAGCATTTGCAAAGGCCAAGCGGGCTTTTGTGTGCCTTTCCTGACTTGTGGCCAGCCACAATGCGCAGCCACAGGTCCTCAGTGAGCTCTTTTGTCTTAGCCAACAGCAGAGAGCTTCTGATTTTCACCTGTTGAGTTGATTAAGACAGCTGTTCCCAATGACTCAGCGTCAAAAACTTGCTGGTTGAATAAAAGTAACTTTAAGTCAGAATTTGCCAGTGGTATGAATAATTTCGGGCTTGACTGTGTGTGTGTGTGTGTGTGTGTGTGTGTGTGTGTGTATATATATATATATGTATGTATGTATATATATATGTATGTATATATATACATATACATGTGTATATATATATATATATACATGTATATGTATATATATATGTATATATATGTATATGTATGTATATATATATATATGTATGTTACTGTCACACACTGTGGAAAAAGATGTGTGTTTTCAAACCTTAAAGCTATTTAAGGGGAAAAATGGGAAAAAACCCTATGTGGTGTGTGGGGGGTACATACTTTAAAATAACTATTGTATGTATACTAAAACATGGTGGACTGGTCTCTTAAGTAAGGCTACTAGCACCACCTGCTGGGGATATAAGGATAGAAAGTGAAAAAAAATTACTAGTGTGATGTGAGATGTAACTGATACATTTTCTTAGTCCTTGATGAAATTAGATTTGTATGGTTCCAGTTTTCTTTTCCACCCTTTCTGAATTTATAAACCTTAGTCACTGGTTACTGTCCTCTGATTCAAAAAAATTAGGTTGCAGTGATAAGGAAGAAAAAGGTGCACTTTATTTGACGCCTACATTTTGTAGACATTATTCTTTGCATTGAACCGGGGTGGTGATAGCGCAACTGATAGGACTATGCCTTTGGTGTGAGAGACCCAGGTTCATTTCCCCACTGTGACCCATCCGCCATTGTGTCCCTGAGCAAGAAACTTAACTCCTAGTTGCTCCAGAGGCGTGCGACCTCTGACATGTATAGCAATTGTAAGTCACTTTGGATAAAAGCATCAGCTAAATGAATAAATGTAAATGTAAACCAAGCATAAATACTTGGTTCAGTGGACTGCCTGGGAAAAGGACCAGCTTTATATTTGAAACGAGGGCTGTGGTCAAGGAGAAAAACAGGAGTATGTCCATAGCATGTTTTTGGTAAGAATAGTAGATTGGTCTAAGGTATTGAATTGTAGGAACGTGGATAAAGCATGGAATATTTTTAAAACATTGTTCTTAGAGGTTAACAAGTTTGCTCCAGAAAAGATGGTGACAATTAAGATTAGACCTGAACCATGGACGAACAACAATATTTTAAAGGCAATTAGGATAAGAAATTATCTTTTTTCAGAGTATAGGAAAAGTAGAGATGAATCTTTATAGTACAAGAAACTCATTACAATGACACAATATTAGAGAACAGGAATAATCCTCATAAATTATGGAAGTCACAGAATCCAGTAGGGTATAGTGACAGGCTCAAGACCAAAACATACAATCTCAGCCTGGATATTGGAGGAAAAGTTACGTCAGATAAGGCCAGGGTAGCTGACAGTTTAAATATGTATTTAGAACCGTTGTGAAAACCTTGGTTAATAAGTTGCCAGGTCTGTCAGAATCCTCAGAGAGAGTCAAGTCCAGACTTTCTATTTAAAACAAGGGGTCCAGGCTTTCTCTTTTGCAACAGTGTCTGAGCAAACAGTGTTGAAGAAACTTAAGGAACTTAACCCAGCCAAAGTAACTGATTTGGAGAATATTCCTGCCAGATTCCTTAGGGATGCTGCGGATTCTATCACCCCTTGTGTAACGCATATAGTAAACCTTCCACTACGCTGGGAATATTTCCCAGTGAATTTAAATAGGCGAGAGTTATCCCTTTCTATAAAAAAGGAAGTAAGCTAGATCAAGGAAATTATCAGCCTATGCCCATTTTGTGTGCACTATCTAAGATAATAGAGAAGATTTATGAGCAGATAGATACATATAGTTCCTTTAATTTATACTATACATTTCAATCAGGCTTCAGGACATCCCACTCCACTGACACTTGCCTACTCTACCTCACCGATTACATCAGGAGAGAGATGGATGGGGGAAAGCACTGTGGTATAGTCATGTTAGACCTCCAAAAGGCATTCGATACTGTAGATCATGCCATTCTATTAAAAAAATTAAAAGCGTTGGGATTAAATGGATTGGTTCATATTTTAGAGGTAATCTTGGAGAAACAAATGGTGGATGTGGGTGGGATTCTATCCAAACCTTTGTTTCTAGAATGTGGGGTCCCACAGGGATGTGTTTTTAGGTCCACTGTTTTTCTATTAATGACATGAAATCTGCTTGCTCATGTGACCTTTTTTATATGCAGATGATTCTGCATTATTGGTATTGCACAAGGATAAATCTGAGGTCTAAAAAGTCCTGAGCTTGGAGTTATTTCATATCAGTTGATGGTTGTCTGACAACAAGTTGTCACTCCATCATGGTAAAACAGAGGCCATACTCTTTGGATCAAAGTTAAAGCTAAAGAAGGCCACAGATTTTAGGATACTGGTGGGAGACACTGAGATCACAGCCAAGGAATCTGTCAATTACTTAGGCTGTGTCTTAGACAATCATTTATCAGGAGACTGCATGGCTCAGATGGTGCTCTCTAAAGCCAACCAAAGAATCAGATTTAATAGAACAGCGTTAGAGACCTTGGCAGGGGCTCTAATCCAGTGTCATTTTGATAATGCATGCCTCTCCTAGTATATAAGTGCAGCTGTGATCCTAAAAAGAAGTTGCAAATGCAAAATAAATTGGTGTGATTGGTCCTTAAACTCTCATCTAGGACACATCTTCTTCCCGCTCATTTCATTAGCCTTAAATGGCTGAGGGTAGAAGAGCAAGTATTAACTATATAGGAGTAAGTATAACTTACAGGACTGTTCATAATGAAGCTCCAAAGTACCTGTACAACTACTTTACCAAAATTAGGGAATACCGTAACTATATCACAAGAGAGAGTACAACTGATTTGGTTCCCATTAGGTGTTGTATGGGAAAGGACACTTTCCTGTATTCAGCTGCCATTATGTGGAATGGGCTACCGATGAGCATTGAGATGATCAACTCTTTAGTTAGGTTTAAGTCTTAAATCTCAGTGTTAATTTTGCATTGTACAGGCCTATTCAATTTTTGTAAAATTTAGTGAACTTCCTTTTATATTGTATAGTAATGTTGTGACAGAAATAGTATTATATGTAGGAATGTGTAAGGATTAGTATTATTTTATATTGTATTGTTTTTATTTTTATTTAATTTTTTTAAGAGAAACGATGTGTACTTGGAAGCTGCTAACTAACTAGTTGCCTATTCATGATGCTCCCTACACATTTGCCTTCCAAAAAAAGACCACAATGGAAATCTGCTAGAACATCAATCAATCAATGTCATATGATCACACAGACACTCAACAACTGAGCCGAGATTGCTAATATTACTGTTAACTTCATATTTCACAATGTCAGACTACACCATATACATAAAAGGTCTGTCTTAAGACATTTGTTAGTAAAAGTGGAACACACAGTAAATTTCCCCTTAATTACGGTATCTCTGAACTGTCTCTTCTACCGAATCACACACATTTAGGTTATTTTATGTATTGATAACTCATAATAATGTGATTTTATTAATGTGATATTATTATTTCACTTCCATTCACTGAGCCTACCTGAAACTGTTTGGAGCCCCCCTGGGGAGGTCCGCCTCCCACTTTGAAAACTTCTGGTGTGAAGCATATGTAGTATTAGCAAAAAATTTATCTATGCTCCCTTCCATTTAGGGAGAAGAGGATTGACCTGGAAGCCAGGACCAAGGCTGGGAGCAGTATGCAGAATGTCTGGCTTGAAATCTTTAACCCAACAGAATGATAAAGGCAAATACACCTTGGAGATGTTCGATGGTGAAGAGACACACAAGCGGTATCTTGACCTGTCTGGACAAGGTGGGTGGGAATTACAAAACACAGATTTTATTTAAAGGATCTAAAACACAATTTCTGTTAAAGAGGTATGATACGTATACTTTTTTTGTCATTCTCAATCATGATTATTGTTATTTTTATTTTCAACAGCCTTTGCTGATGCAATGCTGGAGTACCAGAGGTTGAAGTAAGTGCTGCCCTACATGCATGATGATGATGCGTCTAACATGGCTTGCTGTGGCACTAACAGAAAACACTGAGTAGTCAGAGCTTTTTTATTATTTATTTATTATTAGTTGAAAACTATTCACAGAAAACATCTAAGAGACAGATTATTGTCACCTGACACTGTACAATGTCATATATGTTTGACCTTATGTTTTCATCCCTCAGGCAAGTGGCCATTGCTGAGAAAAGTGAGTCACAGGTTATGTGTTATTTCTGCCCACAACAAAGACTAAAAGGTTGTAAAGTGATTGTCTGCAGGGAGTTACTGTTACTTGTTTTGTTTCAGATCGGGCCAAAGTGACAAAGGGTCTTCCTGATGTTGTAGCCATCATGGAGGGAAAGGCACGTCATACTTAGGAAAACATTACTATTTAGAGACACATTAATACACAATTGCAAGAATCTTACTGTCTCTTGTCTCCTCCTGATCCTCTCTTCAGTCTTTGTGTCTGACATGCTTCATCGACGGTGAACCAGCCCCGGAGATCTTTTGGCTTAGGAACGACAGGGAGATTGTTAACCAGACCCAATTTACCATCGCCAACACGCCCAAATGCAGCACCATCACTGTCAATGGCGTCAACATGGAAGATTCTGGAAAATACAGCATCTTTGTGCGCAACCAGTATGGCTCTGAAACAGTTGATGTGACCGTGAGCGTTTACAAGCATGGGCAGAAGCCTCCGGCAAATGCTGTAGAGATGGGTTAAGATTGCAAACTGAGTCAGAAATTAATTTACTGCAGGGTTTTTGTGCTTCAGATTGAGATTTCTTACCGAAGATAGATGGACTGATAGATGACATTCACTCTCTACTTGCAATCTAAATTATATATCTGCATAGAGAGAAAGAAGAGGTTGAAAGTGGATGGATAGATAGATGGTGAGATTGAATGATGGTAAATTCATGTATAAGGAACTTTATTGCGCATGAAGGAACTTTACTGAGCATGTCCACTGAGGTGGAATAAAAAAAATATATAATCCCCTATAGTCTGCAAACTGTCCATATAATTTTAATACTAGACAGTGTAGGCCTCTGTCATAAAAATCACATCCTTTTGCTTCTCTTGTGATAGAGATGCGGAGATGCAGAATTGCAAAGTCCTGATAGTCATCTCATTTAGCTGAAAAGCTGAATTCATAAGCTGTAGCCGTATACGCACCATTGCTTAATTCAATGTATTCAGTAGATTTGCTGCTGCAGACTTACTTGGTCTTTATATGATAGCTAATGTTAAGCTGAATGTTAATATTAGCTAATATTAGCAACTGGTGTTAGCTATTAGCAAGCAATTAGCAAGTTTAGATGTTGCTTTGTTGACATGACAGAGCGAGTTTGCTGACTTTTACTCTTCTCTACTTGTGCGACTGTTACATTTTATCATTTACCCATATTGATAACTGTCCAATAAAAGTTACACCAGCATTTGACATAAACCTGCAAAACCCTCAGCTACTGGACTGTAGAGTAAATGTTTAATTAGATGTGTCATTTTAGTGTGTGTGTAGTGAATAAAGCAATTTCAAGTGATTTTCGCTAGTGTATTATTTTTATGAGCACTTGCACTATATTTCATCTTAATATTCGTATTAAGTAAACTTTAATAATTAATAAAATAGCCTATTAAAATGAGGACTACAGCTCTCTATGTGCTGATTTTGCAAGCACAGTCTTGTACTTCAAAAGCAAACAGTCCGCAGTGTCATTAACCCCTACTGGGTCCTAGTCAGGTTTAATGGCACACTGCTGAAAGGTTTCAGATGTGCATGAAGTTAATTTAAGATCTAAAGTTCAATGAATGAGTCCTGAAATGAAACAAATGTTAGGTATGTCTAATAGTTTATTACATAAAGTATTTTCTCATTTTAATTTTAATTTCCATCTTCAGTCAGGGTTCTGCGACACTGTAGATCACAATTTATTGATTGTTCATGTCTGTTTGTTGATGTACAAAAATCAGTGAAGTTCTTGAACACACAACATGACAAAATGTATCACCTAAATTCATCTTTGGTGGAAGTTAAGGTTTGGCCAAACAGGAGTAAATGACCTCCAGGTTGTTCAAACAGCAGTGATTACTTCAGAGGGACTTGTTACTCATTAGACATGGTACAGGGAGACCCCTTGCTTTCCTATATAAAAGGTGCAGCACCACAGTGACATCCTCGACGTTGTGTTGAGCTTCACAGCCGTCTCAGCCTCCAGCCCACCTTGGTGAAGGAGAATCCAAATCTTCTAGAAAACATGGCCTTCAATGGAACATGGCAGGTCTACTCCCAGGAGAACTACGAGGAGTTCCTCAGGGCCATGGGTGAGAGAAAACAAACCAGGGGCTCTGGTAGAGCTGCAGGGGTCGGCATATAAAGATTATAAAAAATATATTATCTTCGGTAGTTGAAGACAAAGTGGCCATTTTGTTGTGGTTAAAGACTTCTTCTTTATATTATAACCACACAGTCAACAGTTGCAGTTAAGAGATTCATTATTCCTTACTGCAGGAATGAACAAAAAAGAACTTGTGCTATGCTTACCAGAACTTCCAGCAGATGTCATAAAGATGGCCAAGGACATCAAACCAATTACTGAGATCAAGCAGAATGGCAATGACTTTGTTGTCACCTCCAAGACCCCTGGAAAGACTGTGACCAACTCCTTTACCATTGGCAAGGAGGCTGATATCACCACCATGGACGGCAAGAAGATCAAAGTTTGTAATTCTAATTTACGTTTTAATTTGCAAGAGACATAGCAGCTTCACAGTTGTTTTATGTCGTATCAGTGCATAAATATATTACCTGATTTCATACAGTATAAATCTATTATTTTATACTGTGTTGAGCCTGCAAGTGTACCGCATCTCTTGAACGCTATTAATTGTGTCAGTGATGATGATGATTGTTTTATTCCCTAACCCTAACCCTAACCATGTTTAGGGGTATTTCTGATATGTATTGTCTCCTCTTCTGACCTCCAGTGCACTGTCAATCTGGAGGGTGACAAAATGGTCTGCAACACTGGCAAGTTCTGCCACATCCAAGAGATCAAAGGAGGAGAGATGGTTGAGGTACAGTTGGCCACATCTTACCAGAACTCACTCTTTCTTACACACATATCTCCAAGACCAAATAAAATAAAAATGTAGTCACTATTGAATGTTTCACTTTAATGTAAGTAGGTTTAAATCAGTGGTTCTCAAACTTTTTCACACAACATTTTTTCACCCCTAAACTGACACAAATTAGACCCCAATTTGATAAGAGTTTGTCCGCAAGTCCCCCGTTTGATTGGATTTTACCTTTTAGATGTTTCATTACAGAAAGTGTATGAAACCCATGACCCAAAATGTCATCCATTTAGTCATTGTGTTACTTATGGATGGAATTATAATGATGAATGAAAATAAATTATTCCTCTTTTTGCTGGGGACCTCCTGGAACCTCCTCAAGGACCCATGGGGGTCCCCGGAACCCACTACGAGAACCACTGGTTTAAATAATGTATTTATATCCACGCCACACATTCAGTCTGTTTCCTTTTCCTTTATCTCCTTTCAGACTTTGACCATGGGCTCAACAACCCTCGTCAGGAGGAGCAAAAAGGTGTAACTCTGGCAGTGAAGAAACAATGTCTATTTAAATAAAAGTGTTGCTTAATAAGCGTGTTGTGCGTTATTGTTCGCACAAATGCCCATGACTCTCTTTGACTGGCCTTCTTCCCGCATCCTTACTGTGTCTGACAGATAAGCGGTGAGCAGATACTATGCAATAAATAATAATCTAAAAATGAATAAATAGCCTAATGGAATAGTAGAATAAGTAGATACCAGGTACTCTGTGTGTGTGTGTGTGTGTGTGTGTGTGTGTGTGTGTGTGTGCGTGTGCGTGTGTCGTGGCTGTACATCTGTGAGCATGCGCAGTGCAAAGAGAACACTTTGACTATGTAGTTCGTGTCAGCTGCAGTAAAGCATCAGGGTTTGTGAAAATAAAGCAGTAATAAACACATTCACGGCAGCCAAATTGTAGCAACGGGTTGTTAAAAAATGGCGAGGTATCTAAGGCCGCCTAATACATCTCTCTTCGTTAGAAACATCGCCGACGACTCCAGGTATGTTGTCATTTTTAACCCCTGCTGGCGTGTAAGCAAGCATGGTCAAGCTAACGTAATGCTAGTTAGTCAGCAAACATGTATGTCATTACCAAAATATTTAACTGACGTCAGCGTTACGAGTGATCCCAGGCAGGGAGGCAAAAAGGGCGTTGTAGTTATTTTTTCAAACGAATATTGCCCCAGATATCTGCTAACAGCTATCATAAACACATTTCCCTACAAATGGTTTGCTATAATACCTAGCAAACGACAAGACTGTGTTGGAAGACTGTGTTGTTGCAGCTTAAGTTAGCGTTTCTCCCACATAAGACGAGTTGCTTTTTATATTCTGGACGTAACTTAATAATGTTACGTGACTGCAATACTAAGGTGTGGCGTTTCGCTTTAACTACGTTACATGTATGCAAAGTTAACTGTTAGTAACAGCAAGTCTATTTTTCACAAATCCAGTTTTATTTTAGCTAACGTTACTAACGTTAGCTTGTCCAATTTCTAAACATTGCATACATAAGTTACTCTTAGTAAAGCTACACAAGTTAAACTAAAGTTAACTGTTCATTCAAATGTTGGAAACGTATTTTTTTTTAAAGGCAAAATTCTTCATCAAACTTAACACTGTCCAATGCAAAAACAATCTTGCACATTAAGTTGCTGTTCATAATGAAACCTGAATTATACAATGCTATTAAAGTTCACAGAAAGACATGCTCTCTCAGTTACGCCAAGAGTTTTTTTTAGCTGTTTAGATGGTTTGGGTTTTATCTGCCATTGTTTTGAAATATTTGTGTCTGAAGCTCATACTGCCACCCCAATACAATGGATGTGAATGTTGTGCATTGAAAGAAATAGCTCCCAGAAATGTAACGTTATACATAATTCGGTTACCCCTGTGACTTTGCCACCTCTGTTAATAGATAACGCACGCCATATCTGGCTGCTATGGATGTGTGAAGTTGACTGACTGGGCTTTTGAAGTGGGACAGTAAATACTAGATTTGTCTGTAAAGTATTGTCTTATGCTGTGCTGGCACCAGCTCTTGTGTATACCTTGCACACTGGGCTACAGCTAAATTCATATGATAGCCAACAGAATAAATGTGCTTATTTCATGATACTTTAGGCCAGAGGATTTACGTCGTGAGTTTGGTCGTTATGGGCCTATTGTAGATGTCTACATTCCACTTGACTTCCATACACGACGGACAAGAGGATTTGCTTACATTCAATATCCTTTATTCTTTTAATTATAATTTGGAAATGGTGTTTTCACTGAGGGATTGCAAAGCATTAATCTAACTTTTTGGTTGCAGTGGATATCACGGCACCTGACCTGACAATGTTTTTTAGGAGGAGTCTCTTTTATTTTTATATCACAACTGTTTGTCCCATTGTATGGGAATGTTTTTTTAAATGCAATTTTACTTTCTATGAATTGTTTGTTATCTACAATATTGTTTTTACAGATTTAAACTTATCCTAACCAATATTTCTTCTGTTGTTGCCTTAGAATGGTAAAGATACAGTTCTGGACACCCCACACCAAAGAAAGTTGAAAGGCGGTTGTAGAGTAGATTCAAGCCAAAGACACACGGGCGACAAGCAGTAGTGGAATTGGGAAAATAAAGAGAGAGCAAAAGAATGAAGATACAAAGAGGAGAAAAGAGAGCACCAAGGCTTCCATTTGTCTACCAAAAGGGAGGAAAAGCAAAGTGTTTATTGGGCAAAGACGAGCAGGAAATCTCAAGTTCTTCTGCCAAGACAATAAAGATCAAGCTGAAGGTCAAAGGTCAAGCATGTTAAAGGTAACAAGCTAAAGTTTTTGTATCCTACCGAATCTGATCACCGTCAATATTTATTTTGTCCTCACAATTTGATATCCCAAATGGGCCTATTGATTCAGTTTTATGTTGTTTAATTGCTGCCTGAAGACAAAATTCGTTAATTTTCAGTTTTAAATCATTGCCTGAAGTGATTTTTCTCAGCACTGTTCTAATTCTATTAGCTGTGTTTCATAGACTGGAGCTGACAAACTGTGTTGCAGCCTTTTTTGTAATTGTTGTGCATGTGTGCAGACTTCTCTGTCCCAACTCTACTAATTAAAAAAATAAAAGGCCTTAACAATGTAGCACATTTGAAGATGTGCGGGATGCAGAAGACGCTCTTCACAACCTGGACCGTAAATGGGTTTGTGGGCGTCAGATCGAGATCCAGTTTGCTCAGGGAGACAGAAAGAGTATGAACAATTTGCATTACTATCTAAGCAGCATACATTTAACCTTTGTAAACCCTCATTCAGTGTTGTTTTGTAATACCTAATGTCCTGATGTAAATTTGTCCATAAAGCCCCTAACCAGATGAAGGCCAAGGAGCGCCACTCTCCTCGCAGTTTCTCCCGCTATGACGACGATCGGGATAGCCGCCGAAGACGGTCCCGGAGCCGCAGCTATGATCGACACAGGTCCCGAAGCCCGTCCCATGAACGTCGTCCTCGGAGGTCTGAGAGCCCTAGAGAGTGAGTTGTTGCCAACTTTTTTTTTGTTACAGTAACTTAAATAGTGAGTTTCATCAGTTAATCAGTCAGCAAAGCTCTTGTTGATGTTGATGCTTTATACACTTTGGCATAAAGTAAATATAACATACACTATATTCTCCAAACTAAGGTAGTGGAAAAATGTCGTTTCGGTATCTGCGCTGAAATTAGCGTATCATATTAGCTCAGATATCGAATGTGCATATACTGACTACACATATGGACATTATTTGCTTACTTACTATCTTATACATTATACATTTTCTATTCCCGACATATCTCTGCTGTTGTGAGACTGAAATTTCCCCCTGTGGATAAGTAAAGAGCTACCTTACCATCCCTTAACAGACCCAAATGTAACTTTAACTAACATCTAGGGCTGTCCCTGACTAAGGATTTACATAGTCAAATCATGTGTGTTTTTGTGCACGGCGATTGCGAGCCGAAGCTAAACTGAGACTTATTGTTGAACATTTTCTCTCTGTCTCTTGCCTGCCATTGACTGGTCTTGTGCAGAGTTTTTGCCGTGCTGCCGACAATTGCATGCATGGCACGGTTACTCGTAGCGGCTGTTTAAAAACGATGTAATATTTGTGTGGTTCATCAACGGTCATAAATTACCCGAAAGTCCCACGATGTGCGGACAACTCGGCACAACAGTGGTGAAGCTGGGGCTCGTCTCTTCAGCAAGTGTTCCTCCTGCCACTACACGCTACACCTACACATGCGCACTGACGACCCAGGGTTAGGTTTACAATTTTGTATTCATTCACGCACTTTAAAAACATTTATTGGACAATTATTTTCTTTTTACATGTTTATTTACAGCATTAAATGTTGAAATGTGTATTGTAATAGGGTATATATTAACTTATTGGGAGAAAACTGGTAGTTCTATGTAAAATCAGATGTTGAGCTTGACCAATCGAAGCATCGAATCTTCCGACTATTTGGGGTCAGCCCTACTAATATCCAGGTTAAGAAAAACATTTGCCAAAGAGCACTATTGCGCTATTAAAAGAGAAGATAACACAAGGTCATCCATTACAAGATTAAGTCTGTTTGCAGGGTTCATATGATTTTATGTCATAACATCCTATGCCTATTTGCATCACAATTTTACTTTTAACTGAAAAAAACTATTCAAATGATGATGATGTGACATTTGTTGGGGTCTGTACCAAACAAACATGATGATTTGTAGGCCAGGGCATCTCTGTGGGAGTACTGTACATTTAAACTTCTTTTATAAAATTGCAGCTTCTGTGACTTGAACATTGCACAGTGCAGTTTCTTTTGTACAGCCCTAATGTCATATTTGTACATTCATGTATGTTTTAGTTCAGGTGTGACCTGTATTTCTTCCTCAACACACTAATAAGAACAAAGAGGAGAAAAAAGTAGACTAAAGCTTTGATCTTTAGTTTGTTGTGGTTATTTATTTTATCTGACTATTTGAGCCTTTCTAGAACTGGTATAAAGCAGTTGTGTCTATAAAATAGCTTAATTACAAAATCAATGTTCTTATCCTGAAAATAAAGTGGTGCACCGATGTCTTGTACAATTTTACACCCTGAAAAACTGGTTTTGTGTTTTTGTTCTCTCACAGCTCTCGGTCCTACAGTAGACATAGGCGGAGCAGAAGCCATGAAAATGACAAGTATGCTAATTTCTAATGTTGCAGTATTTAATACAAGCAATGACTATGTTACTATTCTGAACTTAACAATTCACACATTTTATCATTAATAACTAATGACCATCCCACCAGGTACAGAGGTCCTCCCCGTGACCACCCGAGGACACACCATGACGAAGGCTCACGTAGTCGCTCCGTGTCCTGCTCCCCTTCACCTTCCAGATCCAGGCCCAAAGGTAAAAAGAGCCAGTCCAGGTCTCACAGCCCAGCTGAAGACTTCCACCCAACTTCCAGCTCCCAGAAAAAGTCTGTGGGACGATCTCCCTCCCGGTCCTACTCTAGATCCATGTCCCGGTCACGCTCTCGCTCCAGGTCCTGGGCTGGACGCAAATCTGGAGGTCACTGATTATCTGTTCCTCCTAAACCTTAATTAATGTTTCTGTTCAGCTTTTGACAATAACAAGAATACAGCAGAATTTTAGGTATAAAAAATTATAAAATTACAAAGCAAGGGGAGGGGGGGTATAGTCTGAGGGGAAAAAAAACAGATATTCTCTGAGATTAACTTGGTAAAAGAAAATACTCACATTTATGAGAAATAAACTTGAATATTCTGAGATTATAAGTGATATATGTCTAAGTAAAAACTCTACACAATATTTCAGATGTGCTTGAAGTATCAAATAATAATAATTTCACCAACCAGTATTATGAGACTTTCCTCACTTCTACATTTATAAATGACATTATATAGATATGACGCAGGCTTTCAGGGGGCTTTGTTGCAGTCCCTCATCTGCCTTAACTGGAAGCTCCACCTCTTCATAGGTCTCCACTGAAACACAAAGTTTTCTTTCTCATAATTTTGCCACTTTTAATCTTGGAAATGCTGATTTATTAATGTTTTCTCTTGTAATAAAACCCAGCTCTGTAATTATCATTTTCTTAAACTACAATGATCCTACTACGTCGTCATACTTGAGTGTTCTGCTCTGTTTGTATTTGTCTATTATTACGGTAGTCTGTTGCCAAAGGAAAGTGAGCAGCAGGCCCGGAGATAGATTTTCATTTGATCCCTGGTAAACTTGGCCAGGTTTTTTGGACTTGTGTCATGTGGGTTGCTAAAGGTGGAATAATTGCTACTGTTTGGTTTGCCAATATTATTTTTGTACTTATGAATTGGCAATATTTACATTCATACAGTTTAATTCCATTGTTTATGTAAACATAAATAAAGATTACCTTTAACTTCAGGCCCTGACTCTCCAGTATTTAAGTACTCTGGCTTCAGGGGCACTTATTAAACAGCAGCAAGCAAACTGTATACTTGAATAGCTGTAATTACTGTGGCAATGGATAATGTATGGAATGCAGTTAGCTGCTACCAAATACTTTATCCAGTATATCATGTGACGTGTACAAGATGAGCTGCATTTTGTTCAGCGAGTGAAACATTCATTTTAATATTCAAGTGTTCCTTAAACTATTAAAACTAGGGCAACCGTATTATCAATAAATACATTCTCTTGTTATTTTCACTGCTGTACTGTTACAGGGGTTGGAAAGCAGGAGACTTCTTTCAGCAATGAAAAGAAATGTATACATATCCTGTATTGTATTAAACAAAGTCAGTCGTTAAGATATTCAAGCACAGACAAAATAGGGGGGGAAGGGGAAGGGATTTATTTCTTTTGTAAAATTTTGTCATCAATTCATAAAATGCATTCTTTAACATTTGCTATTTTAGAAACACTAATTAATACCAATCTTAAACAGGGCATTCTCTTTTCATCGTCAGTGACATTTCAGAGGGACAAATTAACAGCCAATTCATTACAGGTTTCAAATTTAGAACAAGGAGACTTTGCCATGCACAACAGTCGGGCAAGAAATAAATGTTTACATGAACAACCAATAGAAGAAAGTACTTTTACAGCATGAGACCAAGTTCAGTTGTCAGCTGGCGGAAGAACAGCTGAGAACTGAAGGTGGTTCTGATGGAAACATTTGGTCAGTTTGTGGCATTGCCACGTAATGAAACATGTCATTTTCAGCATGAGTTTCAAACTTAGGCACAAACAGGTCAAGATTAATAGCATCACACTTACACGCTGTAAGCACATTCAGAACTCAAATCCATACACAAGCAAGTCTCCTCTGGGATCCAATTGATTTTTTGTTGCACTTTTACTTCATTTGCATTTAGCATTTTTCACCCTACACTGCATAATACAAAATAAAAAAACATGTGCAAGATCTCTGGAATATAACAGTGCAGGGGTACTGACAAATGTTTAGGCAGATTTTTTTAACAAAAATATTCTTCAGTATTTAAGTCAAGACATTGAAGTCAAGACATGTCCTTAGCATGTCTTATACATTCAGTGTTATTACTAAAAATACTTTTGTCAGACAGGCCTCCAACTTGGCCTGCAAATGTACATATGCTACAAGTACTTTATACATTTCATTATTTACATGGCTCTTAAACACACTAACAAGCTATCATACTTTGTTTTGTCATCTTTAAGCTGGCAATAAACAGCTCCAATTCTGCAAAGGGAAAGCAAAAAGAGCCTCAATAGAGGATTGCATCACAAAAATAGAGTATCCATAGGGAGATAGTCAATTACGCCTCCATTTCAATAGCATCCTGGCCTGTAACTTATTTAAAAAAAAAAAAAATTTTTCGATGGTCAACTACAGACCTAATTTGTAAACATAAAACCTGCCTCGTGTCGAGTCCCTTGGGCTACTTCACTTCAGAAACCCATCCTCAGCTCTACCATACCTTACAATGGCACGCAGCTAACAGGACAACGTCATGTGGCTTAGTGAGACAAAGTGAAACTCAGTCCAACATCCAAGCCTGGCCCTCTTCCGCATGTTAAAAGCTGCAGCACTGTCCTGAATAGGTTTGAGAGTTGTAATAACAGCACTGATTGAAACAGATGAACAGTTAGAAGTTACCTAAGGGACTCTAACCCATTCACCCACTCCAGCTGGCAAGGTCAAAGCGGCAATGGTAACTATGCCGACCACACAGATGTCCAAAAAAAGAGGGGGTGGAGGTTACAGCAAAAACATTGCTTTGGTTACACACACACACACACACACACAGCACTTCTTACATCTTTCAACCACAACAAAAACGGACTTGTACAAAATAATGCTATGATAGAGTGTTGCAGGCCTCAAAAGCTCAACTCCTATAGTGCATGTGCGCACAGCGCAATAAAAAAGGTACAGGAGTTGGCAGTCCAAGGCCTGTGTGCCATGGTCTCTTATTACCCTTCAGTTTGAGGTTTAACTTTTGACCTGTACATGCTCACTACAGCTTATTACTCCAGTAAGATAGTTTTTCTCCCTGCAGAATTGCAGTTGAGTGCCTTTTCCATCCCAAACAAGGAACGTAATACATAAGAAAAAAGGTGGGCCCTAGTCAAAAAATTGCTACGGAATTGTTAGCTTTAGCACCTGAAGCTTTAGAGGTGACTCTAAAGAATCATCATAAAACTTATGTAAATGATAAAGCTAGTCTGTCCACAGAAATGGACCGTAAAAGTGATGGGAACTTACCTGACCTATACTATAACCCTTATTTGGAAAATAAGCACACTCATCTGCTTTGACAGCCATGATTAAAAAGAACAAAACAGAAGTACAAAAGGCTATCCAGTTTGTCATTAGTCTCAGAAACTGACTCTACTAAAAGCATCACCGACCAGCAAGGCTACAAGGCTGTAATGTATTGAAATACAAGGTTGTTTTGTTTTTTGTTTAAAAAAAAAAAAAGGTGTCAAATACATTCACAGCAAACACTGCTGCAAATGCCTCCTGACACTCAAAGAGGTCAGTCTAAAAAACAGTTAAAAGTATTACAGCACTGAGGTGTTCCTGGTGGGTGGGTGCTCTCAAAAGAGTCCCAGTTCATGCATTGGTTTTGTGAAGTGTGGGTATCCCTCTCAGGCCTGCACCTTGAGGAGGCTCTTGAGCTGGAAGGCCATCATCTCCCTGTTGTCATAGGAGCCCATCGGGAAGGACACCCAGTGGCTGGGGGGTTTGGGCAACACGCTAGGCGAGGGTGGCTCGCTGAACTTCGGCCCTGCGTAGCTCGGACTTCCTTGTGTGGCCAGGAGCGTGTTGAGGTGAGACACTGCACCCTCCCAGTTCTGATCATAGTGGGTGGCAAATCGAACAGAAGCATTCTTCTCAGCAGACACGGCCTGCCGTGCCTCTGGAGACCTGTGGTAGGGCTGCGCCCTTGTCGCTCCGGCGGTGGCCGTGGTGGTGAAGGCCCCCTACTCCTGCAGATGCTGCTGCACCATTCTGGTCACGGCTTCTCTGCTTAGCCCGGCCAAGTTGGTGGTTCTTCTTGGCCAAAGGGCGCTCAGGGTGGGAAACTGGAATGTTGTACCTCTCTCCACCTCCCATACTGCTTTTGCACTACGTGTCACCTACATGATGAGAATACAGGATTACTAAAGTTGTTTATTAAAGAAAACTTTTTAGTATTAATGATGCATTGTGATTCGCTTGGAAGATATTCTATTTATTGGCTATTGATATTGCGTAATCCGTCCACACAACACGTACACACTCGACAAAAACAAGTCCACAGGGCTACGTGCAGACACGCCAGACAGCCAGGCCTGCGTCGCCCCTCCCCCACACACACAACCGACCAGCAACATCTTCAGCTCACCTCTTTGTTGTCAGAAAGTTAAAGAAGCAGTGGTCTCTCTTCAATCGTTCACCTCCAATCGGGCCCCAGGTCCTCGAAGTAGTTCTCTGTCTACTTCTCGCTGCAATTTTGTGTCCAGCAAGATCTGTGGTTTTCATGTGCCAAAGAGCGTTGTTTTCTCGTGGAGCCGGGCTAAACATTCACCTCGGCGCACGATGCTCCAAGAAGCCGAAGACCTTTTTGGGAAAGAAAATGTCGGCCATTAGAAATGCAAAATACGCACGACATAATGAAAACAATATTCTTCCGTCTTTCGCCATAGCATTGATGTTTCCTTTCAGGAGCAGCTATTTCGGAGTGCGTCATTGCATCTAGCTCTGCAAAAACCAACAAACGAAACGGCAATAACTTTGTGAAAATAGTTTTATAAAACTACTGGTGGTTATAATAAAATGTTACATAAGTAACTTGCGACGTGTTATCTCATTATTGTTTGTGCGCCAGTAACTTGGCTTAAAGGCAATCAAGTGCCTTTGTTTAGTATTTTTCAATGTAATAGTCTCGATCAATTTGAGTTTTGATTAATAATCCCACCTGTTTTATAATAGGTACTGCTTTTCTCACTCCACTTTGGCACCAAACCAAAACAAAGAAACTGAGCTCAATATGGCGACGAGGTACAAACAGCTTTTCTTACCGACTCCTTTAGGCTTGGTTGATGAAGCCCCTCGTCCGAGAATATGTGAGATTAGCCTTTACAATCCCTCGGCGGACTATGCAGGAAGCACAGCAAGCTATATTTCCTACAAACCCCGTTACCCTCGACGCTTTTGTGGTGCTAAAAGTGGCCGTTGGACGTTACTTCTCTCTCCCGACTCCGTCTGAATTGCAACAAAATGGAATCCACAGCAGGGATATGTAGCTCGTTCTAACTGAGATCTGACCAATCGCGTGTCGAGTACAAACCGAACGACCAATCATCGAAGAGACAGCCAGACGCATTCACGCCTGTTGCCAGACCGGTGACGTCAATCGCTGATCCTCCTCTTCTTTCCTTTGTTGGAGTTCGGGTATTTCCGGAGAGAAGTGTGAAAATAACAGAAAATAAACCCTTTCAAACACTAATAAACGCCCGCTTTCAAGATATATTATCTAGGAAGTAACTCTTAAGGTTACATACAACATCATATGAAGGTTTAGGCTACAATAGTTTTGTGTTATGTAATGTCAGTCCGTCGTTCAAATAAGGTAAACACATCCACAGTTTAGATTTATTGACGTACTTAATGCTTTTTCTGCTAGGGGAAAACGGATTTGTTGTTCCACAGTTTCTGTTTGTGTATGTTAAGCCCATTGTACTGGCTTGAAACAGCTGCAACAGGCGGTAATGATACGCAACTGTCTGTGAGCTGCCCTACCCCCCCATATCATCTGTCCTCTTGCTTAAACAAAACCTTGACCAATTTATTGGAACAGGTCATTTAGCCCTCTTATCATTTTCCAGCTGGTGGAAGAGTGAAATGAGAACAGGAAAGGGAATGCAAGATTTTTCCCTTTTCAAATAATATTATATTATTTTTGATGAATTTACATGGTGGTACAATGATATAGAGATGATGATTAGCCTACTACGCTTTGATACAAAGGCCCACTTCAGAGTTAATCTACTACCAAACAAATGAGTGCCATATAAATGTCATACTGTCATAAATCTTTAGCAGCATATGGACAAGTCATCTTCCCTTGATGTTTTGTTGAATTAACCTAGAGCCACAACACCTCAAATGGACTTCAGTATCCTGGTGAGCAGATGTTTGTGGGGTTAATAAAATGACGTTAAAAATCCCAGGACATACAAGGTATGGCTCACTTAAAAGTTGAGACTATTTGGGGCCTTTTAGTAACTAAACTCCTGCTCGAAAGATTATAACTTGGTCTTTGTTATTCGTCACAATATAGCTTTTAGCCTTTGTATATCATGTGTTATACTGGGGTATTGTGTTTAATTTCACTTTCTTACAACACTTAGTGTTTGCTTTTGAAAAATGCAGTTCTTACTTTCCACCTAGTAGGCTATGTACTGGTTGTGGATGGTATTACACCCTTCCAGTTGGTTTTATGGTAGTCTGCAGGTCCAAGTCTAAAGAATACAAAACAAGTACCATGAAAGATTAACTTCATGTCTAAGTGCAAAGTCAGCGTTATTCTCCCTCATACCTTGTTTAAAGTGTCTGGATTTTTAAAGAGTTGCGCAACACAGGCTGTGTCAACCAGTGTTCACAGCTGAAGGCAGTGGAAGGACACTCCCTTAAGTAAACCTTTGTAGGGGGTTGCAGCCAGTTGCAGCCATCAAGAGTCAGCTATGTATGGAAAGTAGGTCACCAAGAGGCTTCTGTAGGTCATACAGAACATATGTGGTGGACTAAACTCCATGACTGAGTGGTCGTAAAGACATTCTGTAAACATGTAGGCATATGTCTTTTCATAGACACAGTGAATGTACAGGCCAACCTGGAAAGTGGAATGGAAAATATTTTCAAAACAACAGTGGTGTACAAATGCTGCCAGGTTATTTTATTTCCTACACAGCATAGATATTTTTCACACAGACAGATACACTCTCTCGGAACAGGCCATTTACAGTAGTTATTGGGTGTAAATGGTGGAAAGTGAATCATCAATGGAGTTTCACATGAATCCGAATAGTGTCAAATGTGTTGTGAAACACACCCACACAAAGTGAAGTGGGAAAGAACAGAAGCAGAAACAGTTTCACACCACTCAGCAGCAAGTAAAGACTTTTATAATACCAGGAAACGCATTCAGATCAAATCTCTCCTTTAGTAAAAATCTTTATTTTAGTTTGGTGGGGGCACAACAGTGACATAACACAAAGAGCCTGAATGCATTCATACAAGAAGCCCACATTCAGAATCCAAATCAACTTTATTGGTGAAGTATGTGCACACATACAAGGAATTTGACTCATACAATGACTATGAATCAGTAACCACTATCAACACTAATTAAATATGTGTAGGCCTATACAGTCTAGTCAAAGACACACATGTGCCCACATCTCTGTCTTTAAAATAAAAATGCTGTAAATTGTGGCAGATTAGCAACATAAATACATGCCAAGTGCCATTACCCACCTAACCATAAGTATTATGAAGTTATCAGGTGTTTCAAACATGAAAAAATAAAATCTCCTATTTAACACAATATCTAAGTTCCACCCTCCTACGGAACTATGGAGGATCAATATTCTTACAGTCCCACACAACACTGATAAAGCTCTTGGGTCCTTTGCTCAACATTTTGTTTTTCAGGCGCTGAGGTGTTTGGCCTTCAAATGTTTTTCTAATCTAAAATGTCTTAAAGTTTTAAAATAAGCCAATACACAGTAAAATACAGGGTTAGAAGAAAACTGATGTTTCTTATGTTCAAGTGGGGCAGTACTTAGCTACCATTGAGTCACTGATGTCATGTCTATGGGATTTCTTCAAGGAATTTGAGAGTTTTGGCACATTCTTCTTAACTTATATTCTACTGTTAGAGTCCCACATATGGTGGGTGTTTTCTAACTTGATTCCAGTGTTCTTAGTTATGTGCATTTTCTAACAATTTCCTTGGATAGTTATATGGAAAAGAATTGCATAGTCTTGCCTACTTATAGGGAAAACAAACAATGACTTAATTAGACTTTGCAAACAGATGTTCATTTTCAAAAGGAATTTCCCTGAAATAAGTGCTCAATTTAATTTTAATCTGGCAGAAAACACAACTGAATAATAAAAACTGCTAAATAATAATAATAATTGAATAATTACTTTGGCTTATAGCCCCGAGGACATGTACAAGTCAGTACAAGTCAACATAATACCCATTAAAAATGTAAGTGGAAATTGTTAAATGCTAAAATCAAGTCTACTACTTTACAGTTGGATACTTGAATAATGAAAATGGCAAATGCAGAAAAAGATGTAATGTTAGATTTATTTTATTTTATATTATAAATGTTTTCTATTAATTTTGAGTATGTTTATAGTTTTCAGTCCACACTATAATTTCCAAATGTATAATTTGAGCCTTTCATTCTCATTTTACAATGACATATATCTATGCATTTTCATTTTACAGTGAAAATGCATTATATTATTCCAAGAACCAGAGTAAATAATTAATCATTATTAAAGCATTTAGCATGAAGTAATTAGATTTTTGTTTGATCTGTTCATTTCACATCAGTGATCTGATACTGCTGTCTGAAGGTCTGGCAATCTGGAAATGAGAAGAGGAAATTTGATTAATGGATTTTACCCAAATCCATCTGAAACAGCAAAGCGAGCCCTAATGTTTGTATCCAGGGTGATTTAAAAAAAAAGGATTGCATAACAGCATGTAATCCAACTGATATTTGAACATTTTAGGCTTTATTCTATCCTGTGGTCTTTTCTGTTGTGCTGCACCTGGCCAGACAGTGACTGAGAAGAAATCTTATTGGAGCTGTGCTGTCTGCTCCTAATCACATTTCCTGCCTTCTGGCCTGCTGGATCTATCAGGCCAGAGGAGGGGGAGATATGGCCAGTGCACCAGATATCCCTTTATCATTACAAGACTGGTTTCTTTTTTAAAAAAAATCATAATTTACTTGAATGCTGTCTGAATATGAACATGTCACAAAACATTTCTTGCCATGTCATATGATATATTTGTCCCAGTTACTGTTTTATTTAGCATACATTTCTCTAAAATGAGAGGCTAAAAAAGGATGCTAATTCATTTCAGAATGCCTCAGGTATGTGATGTTGTGACCCAAATGAAATGTTATTGAACTACTAATGTATTTTATTTTTTTTTACCAGAGGGACGTACGCTAAATTAAACGACCTTAATTGCAGAGAGAACTGCTTGGTGAGTTTAATTTTGTATCTATGAAAAATAATGAAGATTAAAAGACTGAACAACTATCTAACCTTGCACTATCATTAGCCGTAAAAAGCAGTAAAAACTGCCAGTAAAGAGAGTCACTCATAATAATCACTTGTTCATGGTTGCTTAGCATTGCCCCCTGTTGTACTACAGGCAGCATTACACCCTAACCTTGGCTTCAGTAGGTATTAGTGCATAAAGTATTACAAAAGAAAAATCAAAATCCTTGTGAATTTCCAATCAATCAGCTGACTTACAGGCCTCAGTATTCAAATGTGGGTTTAAACATGGTTGATTATTTCATATTCAAGATACCATATTAAACATCTGAAATTACCCTGTATTAATAAAACAGAGAGACAGTTTTAAGAATAAATATATTAGGAGAAAAGTATGGAAGCAAAATAATTGAACAACTGAGGCAGTCCAGTGTTTTCAAAGGAACAATTTTATGACAATCTTTAAATGAGCAAAGCAAACATACCAGTAATTAAGCCTTCCTTTTTATCATCTTGCCAGTCCTTCCCTCCACCAAACGCAAGCAATTAAGATTTTCTTGTAATCCTTCAAGCAGTATGTTACGTTAAAATAGCTTTACCCATGTGATCCTACAAGGAAGAGGTGAGTGCGTTCATGCATGATGCCAGATACGGTCTGCCAAATGAAGATGAGTGGAAAGTAATTAGCAAAAGATGTGGAAGGAAACACCATTGTTGCACAAATAGGAATAATTCAGTGGAAAGATGTCTATAGCTACCTTGACTAGGTAAAACATATCAAATAAGGTTGTCAATGAACAAGAAAGTTCATTCTTGACCTTTAGAATAGTAGTGTGGCAAAATAATCTTAACCCAAGTTCCATTTACAAGGCTGTTAATGCATTAAAATAACACTGTCAGGCTTGGAGTAATGGATTCACAGCCAAGCATAATCCAACCATGGAAGGTCACCTAATTTATATTTTCCAAATAAATGCAGTATAGTGTGTGTTTGTCCTCCATTTTTATCAACATATTTTTCACGCCTAGCAACCTAACACTATTCTAAAAGTGCTCTCCTCCCCTGAGTCCATCCTGACCCTGTCTGCTGGAAAGGCATCGCTCAAGAAGGACACAACACTTAGAAGTGTGTGATCACTACACTTGCTCTCTAAATCTATGAAAATGTTTCATCTAATTGTTTTCATCTCTATTACATATAATGAAACATATAAAAAGGGACTCCTGTTGTATAATACTTCAAAATAATATAATTTGGGTTATTTCCTCTCTCTCCGTTTCTTTCTGTATCTCTCTCTCCCCCTCTCTCGTGTCATCACAGCCACCCTTCCTATCTTCTCCCCTCACTCGCACACCAGTCAGGTCTGTAGGTCTCTGTGGTTGCTCTGCTGCTAAGAGACCTACCTCAGATCTTCTGTATCAGGAAAAAAGCTATAAAACCGCAGACGTCACAAAAAATAAGGGTAAGCTCTTGAAATGTTATTTCATTACAGTGGTGGAGTGACTGTTAGTTCCTAATTTGGATTTAATCTGTCGTTGTGATGATGTCTCTGTGAAATAGGATTTCACATTTTGCATGTAGAAGTTATAAGGGAAAATAAGTTGTCTGTTCTTGTTCTTCAGCAACTTATGTTGTATTCAATATGTGTATTTGTGCTGTAGATCTGTTACTTTTGACCTATTTTACAGTGCTTCAATTATCTGTTGCTACTACAAAATAAGAGATTTCAAGTAGTCATTTCATTTGTTTTTCACATATTTTTCACGCCTAGCAACCTAACACTATTCTAAAAGTGCTCTCCTCCCCTGAGTCCATCCTGACCCTGTCTGCTGGAAAGGCATCGCTCAAGAAGGACACAACACTTAGAAGTGTGTGATCACTACACTTGCTCTCTAAATCTATGAAAATGTTTCATCTAATTGTTTTCATCTCTATTACATATAATGAAACATATAAAAAGGGACTCCTGTTGTATAATACTTCAAAATAATATAATTTGGGTTATATCCTCTCTCTCTCTGTTTCTTTCTGTATCTCTCTCTCCCCTCTCTCGTGTCATCACAGCCACCCTTCCTATCTTCTCCCCTCACTCGCACACCAGTCAGGTCTGTAGGTCTCTGTGGTTGCTTTGCTGCTAAGAGACTACCTCAGATCTTCTGTATCAGGAAAAGAGCTATAAA